ACTCATGCCGGTCGACACGATACCGGGATTCATACCCATACTCGAGGGGATGCCACCCATCTGAGCCTGCATCTGGCGGCCTTGCGCCTGCGCCTGCGCCTGCGCCTGCATCATTGCGGCGTGGCGCTGCTGTTGAAGGTGGGCATAGTTCGGGTTGATGCCCTGCTGGTGCTGTGGCTGTTGTTGGTGCTGCACCATCTGTGATGGGTTATGCTGGGCAGGATTCTGCTGCTGTGAGTACTGTACATGCTGCCCTGGCATTCCCGCCATGCCCGCCATATGCTGCATCGGCTGCTGTGGCTGTTGTTGCTGCTGCTGAGGTGGCATCTGGTGCGATATTTGCGCAGGAGGCGTCGGCGACGCGGCGTGTCGAGGCATCTGCGCATGTTGAGGTGTCTGCGGAGGTTGTGGCTTGTTGTCTACAGGTACCACCTTTGGCGACGCGTTCTGACTGCCTCGACCTCCCTGGGAGTTGGCATTCTGTCGCTGCTGATCGAGCGGAGGAGGGTTGGTGGGCTTTACACCTGGGTATAGCGCCTGTAGCCTCTTGTATAGGTCTGCCAGAACTGGCATGTCCGGAGGGGGGACGAGAATGTTAGGGGAGGGCGGGACTTGTGAGGCGGGCTTGTGGGATCGGTCGGCGATGGCGGCAAGATAGGCAAGATTGCATTGGAGGCGACGCATACACCTGTGAGTGATATCTCGTTAGTTCTTGGGTTCAACTATGCTTATTAGTTTTCACCGGAGGAAGGACATATGGCGAGAACGAGGTACGAAGTCATGAAGGAAGAATGTTTTGCGCGTACTCATAAAACCCCTTGTCATGCCCAGCTCTCTCCTCGCCGGGCTGCGATGGGTTTTTCCCATTGGCCTGGATGGACACCGTTTCCCTTAGAAGCTCTGCATTGATTTCGAGGAGGAGCGTGACACGGCTCTTGTCCAGTTGTAGCTGGTTCTGAGATTCCATTTGTCTGTTGAGCAGTAGCTGCTGTTGATGTACGGCTATTGATGAGGCCGATATTGACGAGGCCGAGGTGGGTGTGGACGGTGATTGTTGCTGCTGAGATGCCTGTTGTGACACTGATAGTGACGACGAAACTAAAGACTGGCCTAAAGAGAAATCAAAACCATCCCACATGGGAAGGGTAAGAAGTTAGTCTACTATACATATCGGTACATCGACTCCCAGCAAGGAAGAGAGGGCCAAGGAGTGCCCAAAGCATCGCTCCTTTCCTCTCCTCCATCATAATCAATCACATCGGCGACCCGCATACCTTGATACGAAGGATGTTGACCTAGAGCAGCCTGGGACGCCTGGAGCTGCTGCTGGTAGGCGTGGAGTGGATTGTTATCCCTCGCAGCTATTGCCCCTACTCCTGCTCCTGCTCCTCCTACAGGGGCAGCCATCATAGGGATAGCGCCGCCGACGCCGCTGTGGTGGCTGGCGGCTGAACTCGAGATGCTGGAGCCGTTAGAGGCTGGTGGCGGCATGATCGCTGTCGAGGACCCATTCATGACAACAGGTGTAGAGCTCAGGTCGCGGTATTGGTGTTTGTAGTGGTTGTGTGTGTGTGTGTGAAACGGGGATAATGCTTTTTCGATTTGAATTTTTCCAGGCGTTGAGGCTGATTTGCAGTGCAGCCAAGTGAACCAGGGATTTGATCTGCCCCCGGATATTTTTGTGGAGTGGAGAGGAGAGCTCGGCGAATTCTTGAGTGAGTGGTCTGGATCCTCGATTGGGAGGAGCTTTCTTTGTACGTGCGGAGGGAATTAATCATATAATAATGACATTATTGCCCCCACGATAGCTCCACTGACTACCTAGCACCATGCAAGTTCTCAACATCGACATGCACATATCTCCTACTTTGTGAAAATATAGATTATAGATGAAGGTACTACATGTAGTGACCATATCGACCGATGTGATGTTCAGCTTCGAATAATGATTTAACTAAAGCAGGCCGAATTTCTCGAATGCTCTCTAGAATCAAATCTGTCCTCCTCGGCCAGCGTATGGATACAGGCATGCATTTCCGATGGCCCATCGAGACCAGAAAGAAATCAACCGGTCTCAAACCAAGGATGGATGTAACAACTCCATTGATCCGGCGAACAATAATTAGTTTACGAGGTTGATATTTGTGGGTACATGAACTCGTATTCTGGAGAGAAAATACTTGTACAATACCTACTACATACATGTGGCCTAGCTACATCTCTATTACCCGGAATATTAATCCACAGAGAGAATGTGGCGTAACTAACACGAGCCTCTTTCTAAGTATTGCTTTTATCCGGTCTCTTTTTTTGTTTCCAGGGGGTGGCCATCTAATTGATTCCTGTGGTTTGATGGAGGGATTTCCCAAAAATGCGTCCTTACGGGAATTTTTGTGGCCCCAATATTGGGTTAGATACATATCGTACGATACAGTCTAGATCCATGGTCTTTGGGAATTAAGATCCCTTGGTATGTACTTGCATGTGTTCTACCGCAATTTCTAGAACATCTTGAGTTAGATCCGGGGCAAACATTTAATCTTGGGGTACCTATCGTATACACACTGTTCAGATGCCGTCAAGGGTTAGTTGTACCTACATAGACATTGCATCGATGTCAATGATCGATTTCTCACGATGTGAGGTTTACATAAGATTCTCATACAAAAAGATCATCAGGAGTCCAGGACCCTGCACAATCCTGTCTCAGAAGACAGAGGTCGCCACCGCCCTAGTGAAAAAAAATCCCCCTCGACGTGTTCGTTGCTTTTGAAGTTTCCGCGATGTAGGGGCCGAGGTGTGGCCTTTTGAGATCGTTGAAGCTTTAACTTGTTCCTGAGAAATGTCAAACGCTCGATACAGTTGTGCATGCTATAATGACGTAGTTGATCGCCTATGATGAGACAAATGGAGCAAATGGAGCTCGGAGGTAGGCCTTTCAGCTTCTAGAATTGAGTATGGTATATTATGTCACCACACGTGGAGTCTTGCGCTAAAAGGATAGTACGAATACACACGGGTGAAGGGACCTTATTTCGTAAGCATACATGCAACTTTAATTTGACCTCTAACGTCTCCTGACCTACTTCACTCCACATGTCACCCGGCCTCAAGATAATACATAACCCTGAAGTACACGTGTATAGACATTTAAAAACATGGTATTCCGGCTGATTGAATCTTGTTGTCGGGACGGGGTGTTCCACATTGACAAATACTAAAGAAAGGCCTAATAGACCTAGGGCACAAGGTGACGATGCAGCTTGCTTATCCAGATTAGATTGGTATCAGTCGTAGTTGAAGTTTAACCCACAGCCTGTGGTGTTATCTGTGCTCTTGTCTCTCGTTTATTGCGCTGTGATGGCCGGATATGATCTTTGTTAGATATGTGTTTGCTTGCAAACTGCAGTCAGCATACTCTCTAATCTAGAGTGAAACCCACATACCCACTATTATATCAACCAGGCCATGCATCACATCACTTCTACACGGCTTCGAGATGACCGTGTTGCGATAGTACCAACGTATTGAACATCGTCGATCAAAAATTGTTTTCAGGTCGATGCGATGAGAAGCCCCGTACCTACTCCCGTCCGTCCGTCCCGAGGCGTCCGGGCGTGTGTGAGGCTATCGTGCATACATATGTCGTGTCAAGAGGAAGGAAGGGAGGGGAAGAAAAAAAAAAGGAGTAAATCATTTACATTCCCACTTTTTTTTTTCCATTTACGGGTGGCTGCAGACTGGAAGAAAGGAAATTTCCCTTAAGAGTTTTACTGGTTGCACATATGTGCTCCCGAGCAGGGAGGGAGGCTCAACTAACTGCAGACAATCGTGAAAGACGAGACACAAGCCAACTAGCTAATTCAGACTGGGTAGGTGGGGTAGGTGGGTGAGCGGTATTAGGTACATAAATGTACTTCGTGCATAGTAGATTTTGTGAGTGGCAGCTTGTATACATATGTCCTTTATCGGGTTATAGAACTTGTTGAGGGCGGGTAGGACCTCGCTGTTCTCCGCGATCAAGTCAGAATGGTCCAAGTATGAATAAAATGGCCCTGTCGATACTCAGGGTGCATACTCTAGAGTATGTACCTACAACAAATGACGCAGAGGCCAGGAGGGAGACTTTCTAGAGAATTCGACAAAAACCTTCAAGATGGTCCAAAAATGACCTGTGAGATGATCGATGGAATATGGCACTGTCTGTCCTTGCTACCTTCCCACATATCATGTAGTGTCGGGGTGAGTGTGTGATTGGAGTATGCGTTGTCCAGCATAGCAACGGTTGCCTTGAAGGGAGTCAAAAGCCGGGGAGGGAAAGCAGATCCCTGCTTCTATTCGTTGACTGGCATTTGAGAAGGACGAGTTAGGTGGGGAGAGGGCGCGGAGACTGAAGAAAGGTGTGGGAATCCGCCATCTGGGAGAGTTTACATCTCAGTAGAGTATGTACATGTACTTCTTACTCCAGAGTCCAGGGTCCCCTCCACGCTAGATACGCACAGAAAAACAACACCACATCCCCTTCTCCTCCCGCACACATCATTTTTTGAGTGTTCTGCAACTCTAACCGCCCCCTCCCCCTCCTTCTTCCTCGGACCCCCCACTCACCCCCCCTCCATTATTTTTCCTTCTATCCGTTATTTCCTTCTACCTTACCTATCCTTCATCTATTCTCCTCCTCTTGTTTACTCCCCATCGCTCTCCCGTTGTTTGGGTTACGATTCGTTGGTTCCCCGCTCTGTAGCTGCACACGAGCAGATTTCTACCAACAGACACATACAGTCAAACGCCTACATCTTACCCCACAAACGAGTCACGAGCTTCAGTAGTGGTGAATTTACCTGGCCAAACAGATCTAATCATTAAAGATCTACAATAGTCTTTACATCAATTTTACCATTTGGGTGATACCCAAAACGATTTTGTTGATCGACCACGCCCCCAAGCCCGTATAACCTACTTCCTGGCCACCGCGGAGGCCCGGGAGCAACTATATTTAAATGGCACCTAGTGAGGTTGACTTCTACAAGACACTCTCTGTCCACCGGCATGCAACCGACAATGAGATTAAAAAGGCATTTCGAAAAGCTGGTTGGTCTAAACCCTTTACATTCATACTTCTTATCGGCTTCCCCGTGTTTCATCCAATTTGGCTTTATTCTGACTTTGCATGCTCTATATGTAGCTCGAGACACCCATCCGGACAAGAACCCAGATGACCCCATGGCCAAGGAGAAGTTCCAGGAACTTCAAAGGGCGTATGACACTTTGAAGGACCAGCTTGAACGAAGTAAATATGATGAGGATAACCAATATCATGGTCTTCCCGAAAGCCAGCGCCCTAAACCCAAGTCGAAAACAGCTACGCGCTACACCTCTAGCTCATCTACCGGTGCAACTGGAGCTACGCCTAGCTGGGGCGCACCTCCTACCCCCTTTGGGAGAGGGTTTACACATCAAGCTCAAGCACATACTACGCCTAGCTCCCGCCACACTGGGGCACACAAGTCGACCTATGAAGATTTCACGAGCACATATGGCAGTGCTAGAAGGCAGCGTTCTGGAGGATTTGAACGTTCTGGATTTGATTACGCTAATAGCTACCGCGCAACACCGCCTAAGCAAGCTACTAATGATTTCGATGATAGTTACGATGGTTACTATCATGACCGAGGCGGATATCGTCCAGAATCACCACGAAATCGTGAGAGTGCATACACTCGCACTAGCCAACGGCAATCTAATACAACACCTGCTGGGACCCCTAACCCTTCTACCTCAACTCGTAGGGCACATTCAACAGTGGGTGGAAACCGGGATCCGGCTGCTGGCACTGATTTTAATCTCGGGGCTTATATCAAGGAGCGGAGGATGGCAGAGGAGGGGGAAGCAAGACAAAGAGAAGAAGAGGCCAAGGAAAGACGCAAAAGGGAAGAGGCAGCAGCTGAAAGGGAGAGTCAGCGGCGGCGCGCTGAAGAAAAAAGGCGGAAAGAAGAACAAAAGAAGAAGGATGAACTGAGAGCCCAGGAAGACCAGAGGAGAGCCGAAGAAGAGGCAATGAGAGCTTCGGTGGAAGAGGAGGAGAGAAGGAGACAACGTTGGGCCCAGTCGGAGACCAGTCAATATTCCAGAAATGGATTTCGTGCAGATCCGCCAGTGTTCCACGGCCTTAGGGATGAAGATTTGTCGAGGACGGCAGATGAGCGGTTGGCCGAAGGGCGAAGGTCCAAAACGGCCACATCAAGGAGCAATTCTAGGAGATCACCAAATAAACCTAATTCTGCGCGACGCGATAACGAACGGGCGACCAATGATACGGATGGATGGGGAGCCAAGTCCGGCAGTGATCACTCGGGGACGTATACCCGTTTCACCTCTGTAAATCCTGATGAGGAGGAAAATTATTATGATACAGTCAAGAGAAACCAGCGGGATACGCAGCAGAGATGGGAAGAAATGCTCAAAAAGGGTAGCGACAGGAATAATGTCCATGGCCACGGCAGAGCAAAAAGTGAGACACAACCGCGGGAGAGGCCCGGTTCGCCGGATCGCCCGCGTACATCCGGGCCTCACAGTGCTACCGATTCAGGATCAGGAGAGTCAAAGGGACAGAGTCCCAGTTTCGAGCCTTCCAAAAGACGTGAAAGCTCGACTGATTTTAGGTATTCTTTCTTGCCTTTACAGAGAGAGGTGTACCGTCCATCTAACGCGCGCTATAGCTTCAAATTCCCTACCCCCGGAATGGCTAGGGTAGATTCCTATAGATCAGAGCCTCACATCTCCCCTCCGCCTCCACAAGATAGCCCTTTCCAAAAGACTCCAGATTTCAATTTCCATACAGCCAGGGACATCCCAAATCCCTTTACTTACATTTCTCCTGAAAACAATGGCATACACAACTCGAATAAGCTACATGCAACGGCCCCATTTACTCGACCACAGAGCCAACCAATCTATCCTACACAAAAACAAACTGTTCCACAACCTCGGCCAACACCTCAGCCCCATCAGCAACAAAGGCAGCAGATGCAGCCACCGCAGCAGCGCGATTTCAGCGAATTCAAGAAGGAACTATGGAATGACCTTAATCAAATAGCATTCGAACTGCGCCCGTCTACCAGTCCAAAGAAGAAAAAGAGCGCTGCTAGTGTCAAATCTTTCAGCAAATATAGAAGCAAGAGCAAGGAGAGTGTGAATCTTAATAGTATGGCTGCTCGAGTGGAATCAGAGGAAGACAGCGATGATATCTCATCACCAAAGCAGAAGAATTTCGATCAGGGTGCAACACCGCAAAGTCCTCCCATTGGAGATGGAGAGTTTGAGCCCATGGATACTGCCCCAGACACCGGCATCCCCGATCCGATTAATATTCAACCAATGAGGTTGAATGGACACATGGGCCCTAGGAGCCCAATGGGGAATATTAGCTCTAGAGAGCCAACCCCAATTTCACCCCGTTCAACCAAGGAAGATGGATTAGACACAATGCACACGCTAGGATCCGTTCATCCTTTGAAAGCTAACCCATTGGAAAACATGGGCAGCCTGGCTTCAACCGCGCCATTTATTCGTAGCCCTGCTGAAGTCGGACTCAATGGTTTCGAGGAGCTGAAAGATAACCTTCCTTTCCCCTCTCGAGCATCGAACACCCCAAAGCCTCACTTCCCAGGCCCCTTACCAAAATTGAGGCCTGACCTGCGAGATATCTATGGACCCGCAACTCCTATGGAGGATACATTTGCCACACCAACTCCACCAAAAGTTCCGAAAACACCTGGAGAGATAGATCTGCCAACCTACAATCGATTTTTCGTGAGCGTCGAGGGCTATGTGGAGAACTGGAACGCTTATGAGGATAAAGTGCGCAAACAACAGGCATATTTGAGCAGCAGAAGTCTCAAAGACGTGGATTTGAACCAGGATGCGATCAAGAATTATATCAGGAGGGTCAAGGAGGAGGATTTTGTGCTAGAGGAATCCTACCGACAGGCTAGAGAGAAGCATATGGCTGCGCTCGAGGACTGGCTGGGGTACCGAGAACGGGTCATCAATAACAGGAACAATTCGTAGACTGGAATTACCTCGAAAGATGGCACGGAGAAGTAAGGTGTATAATTGTGCGCAGATTTTGATGCTGTTTGGAATTTAGGCATGATAAATCATTATGAGCCTAAACGATTTAGTGTTTCCCTTCTTTTATCATCCCTTCATTTTAAGACTCTCCTAAGGTGGAAGTCTTTTCGGCTTCTTTTTTTTTTTTTTTTTTAAGCAGCTAGCTTCATTGTCATCTGGTAAATGAGGCGTCTTTTAGTTTAAGACTTTCTCTTTATAAAAGGGATTCCTTCATCAAAAATGTAGAAGTCTTCTGTGTTTAAAGACTTTTCAGGTTGTCGAGTTTGTCTTTCTGCTCACTTTCTTTGCCTTTTTCTTTCTTTACGATATACCTTTTAGTGCTTTCCTTGACACTTTGGGACTATGGAAGGTTGTTTAGGGTTTTCTTTATTTTTTTTCTCTTCTCTTTCTTTTCGTCTTATTTGGACTAGGGGCTATCTATGTAGGGGTTCTGGGTCTTTGTATTATTACTACTAGGGTATTTTGCGAGCAGAGTGGAGGGGTGGTGATGGTGGGAGGGGATGGGGGCATATTGGGTATAACGATTGATGGTAGATTTTATGAGTAAATGAGTCACGGTGAATTCTATTCCCAAGAACGGTTCAGAAGCATGTATGTAGTTAATTGGAATGTATGTTTACCATTTAATTATATTTTCGCAGTGTTGAGACTCGAGTGATGTCTACTCATGACCCGATAACGGACGAAGGCCCTTATCATGTGTATATCCCCAATCACCTGCCAATCCTCACAGTCAATCACTCGTCACGCTAACAAGCGCACGGACTAGGCGCCCAAGAGCCTCATGCAAACTTATTCCCCCACCATTAACCCCACCTCCACAAATTAAACCTCCGCTACCATAGCAGCCCTCAAGCCCCACAACGCCCCTTATATATTCTAATAACATACACAGTAGCGCTAGCCAGCCATGCTCTACCTCGTCGGCCTCGGCCTCTCCAATGAAAAAGACATCACCGTCGCCGGTCTCGAGATCGTCAAGAAATGCGCCCGCGTCTACCTCGAAGCATACACCAGCATCCTCATGATTGACAAGGCCAAACTCGTACTTCCTCCTCTCCCCGTTACCCCATTCTCCCACAGTCCTAACAGCAGTAGGAAGAGTTCTACGGCCGCGAGGTGATCATCGCAGACCGCGAAATGGTCGAGTCCTCCTCCGACGAGATCCTCTCCGGCGCAGGCAGCACCGACGTTGCCTTCCTCGTCGTCGGTGATCCATTCGGGTACTTCATTGAAATCTTCTTCTGGTATTTCTAGCTAACACACATGAGAGAGCCACCACGCACACCGACCTGCTGCTGCGCGCGCGCGAGCTGGCCATCCCCTTCCGCACAATCCACAACGCATCCATCATGAACGCCATTGGCGCGTGCGGGCTGCAGCTGTACAACTTTGGGCAGACGGTGTCGATGGTGTTCTTTACGGAGAACTGGCGGCCGGCGAGCTTTTATGATAGGATCAAGGAGAATAGGGATGTGGGGCTGCATACGCTGGTGCTGCTGGATATCAAGGTCAAGGAGCAGAGCCTGGAGAATATGGCGAGGGGCAGGAGGGTGTATGAGCCGCCGAGGTGGGTTTCTACGCTGGGTCTGTGCGGGCGGGGAGTGGGGTTGTGGGGGGGCTGACGGTGTGTGGGGACAGGTATATGACGGTTGCCCAGTGCGCGCAACAGATGCTCGAGATTGAGGAGGAGAAAGGTGAAGCCGGTACGTGACCCCCCTCCCTACGCTCATATTCCTCTTACTTACCACCCTGCCTATATACAGCATACTCACCTACCACGCTCGCCATCGGCGTGTCCCGCCTCGGCTCAGAGGACCAGCAGTTTGTGGCGGGAACACTGAAGCAGCTTTCAGAGGCGGATCTGGGCCCGCCGCTGCACTCGCTGGTGCTGCTGGGAAAGCGTGTGCATGAGCTCGAGATCGACTATATCCGCCCGTTTGCGGTGGATGTGGAGGAGTTTAATAGGGCGTATGAGTTGGAGCACGGGAAGAAGGCTGCTTAGACTTGGTGCTGTAGATGCTGTAGATAGGGAAAATAAAATAAAAAAGACTTGGATGTAGTATGGTAGAGGATTTGGATTCAGAGATTGGAGGTTACCCTCCCCTAGCATAGGTATTACTTCCAGGCCACTGAAAATTGTGTGGGCGAGTGTGGCCTAGGAGTAGACAGCTCGCCATGGAGGAACACCGAGTGAGTTGAATCCCCCGTTGACCGTCATGGATTCATACCCAATTCCGGGGGCGGGAGTGCTTGCATAAATCGGACCTGATCCCCTTAAAAAGACATACTCCTTAGTATTGGCCGGCCGCTTCTTGTGGGTTAGGTCTCTGGCCCCCATAATTGCAGCTTGAGCTATCTCAGCTTCTCGCTTGACACTTGCTCATTATTTGATGTCCCCCCCCCCCCCCTCCCATTCGCTCATAGTTAGCTAGACTCCATTGAATTAATGTTAAGGGCCAAATACATATAGGGCCGGGTAGTTTTAGCGAAACTTTCCAATCTATATTCTTTTATAAAACGGCAGATTGCCTTCTACTAGGGCAACGACGGAACCGGGCACTACATGCATGTACATAATTACTTCCAAGATCAATCGTTGATACCCTTCGCACTAGTCCCATTACGGCCAGTGTCAATGACCATCCGGCAAGGTTTGCCAACAACCCCCATGGCAAGCAAACATGTCTAATCCCGTAGATAATATGACTCTACCCCCAATAAAAGCAAACTCCCCTCCCCAACTCACCTATTACTAACTCTAGAGTTAAAAAAAAAAAAGCAAACAACTGACTCTGACTCCGGATCCTTCCCCCCATTTTCCTCCTCCGACCACCGGAGTGTACTGTACTACTTCTTAATTCTCACCATCACGACCATCAATTACAATGCCGAAAGAAAACGCCGCGAATACGCTCTCGGCGCTCATCAGCTCTGTGCGGTCGTACGCCGCGCGGGGCGCCTCGCCGTCTCCGTCGAATTCTCCGCAGAGCAGGCTGATAGACATATCTGATCATGACGCAGTCCGCGAGGTCAGAGAAAGAAGATTCGAAGCGCCTGTAGCTGGCGAGCCACCACTAGGAGCACCACCACCACCACCACCACCACCACCACCACTACAGAAACCAGAAATTGGGGGCGAGAAACAAGCTTTCGCTGAGGATCAACCCCATCATGGCTGTTGTCAAAGCTACGGCTTCCACGCTGGCGAACAAACACCAACAACAGAACAAAGGCACGAGCAACTATCACCATCGGCGGCACTGCAGCTGCAGTACCAAGAAGAGGCGGCGCTGCAGTTACAGATACAGAAAGAGATCATCACCCAAGGTGCGGTGCTGCCCTGTGTTCCCACCGGCGGCACCGTACTACTACAGCCTGCATCTATTGGCCATGATCAGACGGGGCAAACCGCACCGGTGCCGGCGGTACTGCTAGTACAATCTGCGTACCAGCAGCCTACAGCCGTGGCCATGGCCCCAGATGAGCTAGAGCCAGAATCAGAGCCGGAGGAGCTAGAGCTCGTATCCATGATCCAAACCTGCGCCCCAAAAACCTCCAAGTACTCCCCAACCACACCCAAAGCCCGCAGAGTGTCCATCCCCGCCAGCCCTCTCGATCTCCCCCTCACTATGACTCGCCCTACCACCCTTCCTACTGCCTACAACCCCGGCCGCGGCCGCTCTCCTCAGCGCTCACTACCGCCGCTGCCACCACCACCACCAGCGGCGTATGAATACGACTTCTACGGGCGCCGCTCCGGCCGCGTGCACGCCCCGCCGGCGCCGAGGGACCGCGACGATCGCAGTAGCTCTGCGTTTATGGGCTTTGAGACCGATGAGGGCGGGGATGGAGACGATGAGCTTGATGTGAGTGTTTTTCCTCTATATTTTTTGTGGGGAGGGCGGAGGGGGGAGGGGGTAATGATTGGTTTGCTGATTTTTTGATTTTTTGCGGGGGCATAGGGGTGTTCGTGGAATGGTGGGAGCTTGAGGGAAAGGGGGAGGGGCAGAGGGGCGTGTTTTGGGTGGCCGATGGCGGGGGAGAGGGTTGGTGCGATGGTGGGGGAGATTGTGGAGAGCGTGGTGAGGATGGGGCCGTTTGATCCTTCGGAGGGGTGCGTGGTAGGTTTTTCTTCTTCTCTGTCTTCCGGGCTGGGCGGTATCGGGGTTTGTCCCAAGAGATAGACAAAATACATGTATCCTATACTAACCCCCGCCCCCTCCCTCCCTCTAGCCTATAATCTCGCTCATCAGCTCCTCCTCCTCGTCCTCCTCTTCCCCCACCCCCACGCCTCCCCCGCCGCGCAACCCCCGGAAGCGGCCGCCGTCTAGCCCTACCCCGGGACACTCTCACCCTCACTCTGCCCCGCCCTCCTCCTCCTCCTCCTCGTCGTCGTCGTCGTCCTCCTGCTCCACCTCCACCTCGTCGCTCAGGATCACGCACGCGCACAAGCGGCGCTGTCCCCCGGGGGTGTTGAGGACGGGGCCGTGGAATAGTACGGAGAGGATGCTGCTGGTGGAGAGCATGCAGGGCGGGGTGGACTTTGAGAGGCTGGGCGATATGATGGGAAGGGGCGCGGGGGATGTGTTTGAGAAGTTTTCGGATGTGGTGGCGGCGGGGCTGTATATGGGTGTGGAGGGGGCGGGGGTGGGGAGGAGGGATTGGGGGGTGCAGACGGAGGAGGAGGGTGTGGGTGTTTAGTTGGGGGTTCTGGTTTAGGTTTTTTTGTAGTAGTGGTGTTGCAGGCATAGATTTAGCTGTGAGTTTGAGTACTGGCCTTCTTTTCATGCGCCTATACATAGAACTTGTTAAGCTTGCAATTGGCCAACGGGACCATGAGTATCATTTGGGGTCTGCTGCATGGGAGGGTGCTTCATCACAGCTCCAGCTTAAGTGTTTGGTTCCCTTTTTGGCGGAGTGAGTCGAGACGAGTTGGGCATACATGCACGCACCCGACTAGAGCTTAGATTGCAATATGTTCACAGATTATCACTCGGTAGATAGGTTTGGAAGATAGCTGTTAGATAATTAGACAATGCTTAGGAGGGATTCTTCTCATGATCAATATGTAAATATGGACTCTATGGTTCGCATGAGCTCTTCATATCATCTGGCCGTTATTGACGATGAGCCAGATCTCTAAGGATCGAATCGCGATACTATTTCTCTATAATATACCACCTCGAGCTCGAGTCCTATAGAAGAACCCTCGTGCCGTGCCACTGTTACTGCTGCCCTGCGTAGTCTCCATCTCTCCTGTCCAGAGCGCCAAGCAGTGGCTTTGCATGGGGCTGAGACAGACGCCCTTGTGAGGCGCACAGAACCAGTCAAAGCTCTCTCTCTCTGAGCAACCACAGCAGACGTCGACAGAAGATCCTCACAACAGAGAGAGAGCTCGAGACATCGCCAACCATCGCCCACCCCCCCACCCCCACAGACAATGTGCAGAGCTCCCTAGACTGTCGATATCTCCACTGAAAGCTTCTGCACTGCTCAGACACCCGCACTCCACTCACAGATAGACTAGACATAAGCCATGGAGGACTCACCTTTGACACTGGTATAGTGCAATCATACCCCCCCCCTCTCTCTCCCCCCCACTCATGGCTGATATCTCCCCCTCCTCCTCCTCCTCCTAGGCACACCAACACGCCTCGACAGCATCCAACATCCTCCGCTCCTCCGCCCCACCACACGCCCCTAGCACGCTCCTCGCCGCCGCCTCCTCCCACGCCCTCGCCTCCACCTCCTTCGCCGCCGCCGCAAAACTCACAAAGGACCCCGAAGCCCTGCGCACGCTCGACCTCCTCTCCACCGAGCACGACCGCTGGGGCGCCCGCCTCCGCCTCGAGGCCGAACGCCCCGTCGAGCGCTTCGGCGCCGCCGCCGCCGCTGCCGCCCTCGAGACCGTCGTCGAGGGCTCCGGCTCCACCGAGAACATAAACGACGATGCGGATGCCGCCTCGAGGTCGAGGCCCAGCGGGGCAAGGGACTCCCTCCCGCCTGCGCCACTCCCGTTCGCGAATACTGGCACGGCGCCGATCCCGCCGAGGCTGCAGAAGAGTACCTCGTCGCTCGCAACGAACCTTGCCTCGGCGCGGGGCATACCGCAGCAGTCGCGTCTAGGGAGTGGGGGCGGCGCCACCTCGCCCAGCCGCCGGCGATCCCTGTTCCCTGAGCGCTCGCAGACACTGCCGACAGCACACGACTACCACACCACCACCTCCTCCTCCTCCTCAAAGCCAACCACAAACCCGCTGACCCTCCTCCCGCCCGACGACCCCACGCCCCCGCCGCCGCCCAAGCGCGCATCCACCACCCCGCGCCTCTCTACCCGCGCATCCGCACCAGACCTCACCTCCTCCACAGACGAGCCCTTCTCAAAGTTCTACACATCCCTCAACACCCTCGTCTCGCGCATCGGATCCCCATTTGCCGCCTCACTCGCCTTTGCCGGCCTCCCGCTCACAGACGACCCGGCCTCGCCCGCGCCCGACGCCGACGCGCCCGCACTCCTCCCGCGCGGGTGGACCGCCGGCCGCGCCGCTGCCGGTGGTGGCGGCAGCAGTGGTGGTGGCGCCGGCACCGCCCCCGCCGCCGGCGCAGAGAGCTTCTATGTCGTCCCTGTGTCCGGCGGCACGCTCAGCTACGCGGGAGTAGTGCGGCGCGGCGACGCAGGGCGCAAGACGAAGGAGGAGCTGCAGCTGGAGAACACGGGGCTGCGCCAGACGATCGACCACATGAGCCGGACGATGCAGAGCTGGCAGCGCAAGACGCGCGAGAGCGAGTGTGCGCTCAAGAACAGCATCCTGGCGATGGGGCCGGGGGCGGAGAGGGAGCTGCTGAGTCAGGTGCAGAGACGGTCGTGGATGCATGTGCCGTATGAGGAGGGGGAGGATGATGGTGCGGTTGGGGTTGGGGTGGGGGCGGCGGAGGAGAGGGTGGGGGTGTTGGAGGAGGAGTTGGAGGGGGTGAGGAGGGAGGTGGAGGGGGCGAGGAGGGAGGCGGAGGCGGCGAGGAGGGAGGCGGAGGAGTGGAGGAGGGAGGCGGAGGCGTGTAGGAGGGAGAATGAGAAGTTGAAGACGATGCTGGAGAAGTTGAAGGCGAAGTGGGAGAGGCTGAAGGAGGGGGCGAGGAGTAGGAAGGCGGCGGGGGCGGGCGGGGGGAGTGGCAGTGCGGGGGCGTTGGGGAGAGTGGAGGAGGGGGAGTAGTTGTGTTCTGGGGGGAGGAGGGAAGGGGGAGGGGGGGTTGTAATACTAGATATGGCGTTATCAGCATTCTTTCTTATTATTATTTCTTTTTTTTTCTTCCTTTTCTTCCTTTTTGCTTTTTTATACTACCGGCCTTCCGGCTCTCGTTTTTTCTCTCCTGTGGTGGTTGTAGGTTGCTAGTCTGGCCGGTGGGGGCGGGTGGGGGGGGGGGGGACTGTAAGTTAGCAGAGGGATGGAATAAATGTACAAGAGTTCGCTTTATCAGATCTTCTCTGTCTGTGTACGTGTGTGTACGTGTATCTGTGTGTATGTGTGTTGGGATGGTGGGTGGTGGGGTGGTGGTTTATATAGTCGATGAATTCAATATAGATGGCAATGTCATGATATATCTCGTCTCGGTGTGTTTTTGTTTCGAAGGTGTTTTCATGAGAGGGCTTGACGGGGGTGTTTTGTGGTTTTTATAGCTGTAGCTTTTGGTTCTTGCTGGTATAGCGGCCGTCTGGCGTGCTGGATATTGGTCTTCTCTTCACGCATAGTGATGGGCACGAGCCGAGCTGGCGCGAACAGGTCGAGCTCTCTTAGTGACGAGCCCGAGCCAGCTCGAGCCCATATCCAATAAGCTCGAGCCTAGTGAAACATTAGTAATGGTTCGAGAAACCCACAGCTTGGTGATTTATATGAGAATATATCCCCCCATTATTCATCCTGAATACGAACTCTGTATGCCGACTTACTGTAAGGTCTATTTTTAGGTATAAACATGAGAGCTCGAGCTGGCTCGTGCCCATCACTATTCACGCAAGATCTGGATGGGGAATAAGTTGGCCCAGCTAGATCTGGGCGTTGGCTGGTTGGCCATGGGGGATCCATACTAAGTAGTATGAAATCAAAATGGGTTAAGCTTTCTATTACTTTCGAGACTTTTGACCACTCGGCAAGCATGAGTTGTGGGGTGAAATATCCAAGAGTCGTCTCCTTGATCAACTAAACCAATACAATCATATAGCGTAATCATAATTAATCGGCTAGCCGCCACGAGAACGTTCGCAGCATGCAGCTCATCAGTCAATCGCAATCAGGCCGGAGGTGCAGTGTGTAGCTCAGGGTCAGGTGTAAGTCAACGAGTGATGGCGTATGATTAAGCCAGTGTTCAAGCTGGGGGGAGCTAGGTTCAATTTCGTTACCCTCCTCGGAGATTTGGTGGCTCGTACACAACTCGTATGCGTACGAACAAGTGGGTAGGATAAAGTACGTCTGTATATATGGATACCCCTATGGGTAGCTCGCTGCTATTCGCCGGTGAGGCAGTGGTGGCAGTGGCAGGGCGGGTGTTGGTGTAGGATGGGCGTGCTGTAGGCGGTTGACAGGACGCTTTGGCCATGCATGTGCGCGCTTTTCGAGTCGATATAGCTGGAGGTTAGTGTGGTGGTAGTATGGTATGTGTGTATGTGTGTGTGGCCGGTTGTGTGGACTAGACGATTGATCTGGGGGGGGGGCACGTTTTTTTTTCCTCCCCGCCAACCTTAACCCCAATTCCCCCTTCCTCGGGGTTATGAACAGACAATTGCAAGAAACGGTGGACAATGGTGTCCGTTGGACTGCGCCGGCTGGTAAGCTGTACCCCAACCCACTCGTTCGCTGCTACATGACTTAAGCTTGGTGGTGTAGCTATAGGCGTACGGATGACCCCCGAGTACTAGCCACACAGTGTTAGTTCTGGCCATCGCCGGTTGAATCTGCGGCCCGGAGGAGCCAGATATAGAGTGGGTTGAGTATGGTGAAGGGTCGTGGCGCTGTGTGAGCTTTGTCTGTTGGTACGTCTTGCTTCCTGGGTTGGTGGTTGTGGGTTTTCGCCCGCTGGAGGTGTTGTAGGTGTGTCTTGCTGCATACTGACTGATATCTTGGCCCTCTCCGGGGCCCTTGATGAACGTGTGGTTGATTGTTGGCTCTGGAGTGGGTTGGATGGTTAACTGTGGGTTAGTTCTAGGTGCACAGGCGAGTAGGTTCTTGCAAGCCAGGTCTTTGCTTGTGCAATACGCCGCCTTTTATATGTTGGTTCAAATCTGCGCACTCCAAAGTTCCGCCGACCAGCACATATGCATCCTCGATACAAAGCGGTGGTTATGTTGAGGATGCAGTTCCAGAGTACGGTGCATGCATGCCTTCCGTTAAGTCGACCACATAACTCCATTTCGAGGGGTTTCCTGGAGTTGGTGTGGATTTTGCAATGGTTCTAGTGCCCACCAAGAACATTCTTCCTCTGGCTCGACTGGGTAACTGAATGATATAGAGACGACTTCCCTAGTCGCCCGAACACCTCCCTCACTCAAACATTGAACGCAAAAAAGAAAGTATCCCCGATATAACCGGCTCTTATACTGTTATTTCATCAATCATCATCCACTGTTCGAGTGAGGGGTGTTCGAGTGGCTAGGGAAGTCGTCTACTATTAAGCACCGGTCTTTAAAATCCTTAGTGCTCATTCTCTTCCACGTCCGCCGGTACCTTTAGTCACTCCGCTGACGAGTAAAGACTGAAGCGTCATTTTGCTTAGATATGATATGGGCTCGTAGGGGTGGTCTTAAGGATTTGAATGACTTTATGACAGAAAGATCTCGACTAGCGATCAGAGGTTTTGATGGCTGGTCCGCGCCGGAAGAGGGCTTGGACTAGTGAGGTGCACATATTCAGCAACCTTCTAATAAGTAATGCTCTTTCCTAGCTTAGCACTATCAAGCTTAAGATGCAAAGGCAAAGCACATTTCAATTAATCATTGACCCCAGGTAGAGAGATCACAGTGTGATATGATGAGGATGTGATTGCAGCGATTTCAGAACGTTTGAGCACGCACATCTAGCTTATAGTGAGCCATACACCAAGCACTGGATTACTATCTATAAATCCTAATAAAGCCTCATGCTACGCTAGGACGAAACAAAAACAGTTGATTTGAGACTGATCTGCTAATAGAGAATAGGAAATGCCTTCGTCGAGTCGTTCAATATTGACCAGATTTGGCGAGCACTCGAGATCTATTTTCAACCTAGTCCAGACAGATCCATGTATCGGCTTGTTTATCAAACCTCTGCTGACATACCCGCGGCGATAGGTTTACTTTTAAGACCCGTACCATAGCCCTGACCTGCACTCTACATATAGTAGCTACATAATCAGATCGTCTTATAATTAAGCTCTTCATAGGTCTCTTCCTGCACATGCAAGACCAACAACAATAATCAGAAATATACAAGTCCGTTTCATTACTAATCAAATGGATATTACTTATTCACCGCTATCCACTCCCTACTTCTTCGTCGGAATCAACTCCTCAATCGGCTCCTGCACCAGCCTCACCTGCACACCCTCGATTTTCCCCTCCTGCCCCTTAACCTCCGCATACATCGCCCACTCCCCGTCCTCCTCCACCGCAACAAACCCATACCAGTCCTCCATATTTAGGCCAAACGCATCATACGTCCAGGGCCCAAACAGTCCTTCCCCTGCCTCGGCGCGGTTGCCGTACTTGACCCGCCTTGTCTCTTTGTCTACATACAACCAGCCGAGTGCCGGCGGGTCAAAAGACGTTGACGTAACCAGCGCAGGCGTCTCGCTGTTTATGAAGAGTCGGATGTACCCGCCAAAGGGATGGCCCGCGGTGGGGGACGAGGTGGTGTTAAGGTAACACTAGGTTTTGGTTTTGGTTAGAAAGGAAGAGGGACATAGAGAGTGTAGGCTGCCTACATTGTTGTCACGGAGAACGAGCTGCTTGTGCGAGTGCAGTGGACTGGTTTTGCATTCGGAGAAGAGGGTGAAGTATGGTGGGAGCTTGGCTTTGGCTTTCTCTTCTCGGTCACCTTTGATACCTTGGGCTACGCTGGTGGTGACGGGGATGGCCATTACCGCCAGGAGGCCGATCATGGATGCCATTGCGATATGTGGAATCGGAGACTAACTTCGGTGGTACTCTTTTTCGAAAGCTTACAGAGAGGTAAACATCGATATGGGAATTGACTTGAGCTGAGTTTACCTGGAAGAAACCCCCATAGCTACTATTGATAACAGAACCTCTTGAGGCGGGGCTAGCCAGACAGGAATCCTATCAATATCGGGTCGGTAGGGGTCGAAAAACAGGTTAAATGGTCATTTCTACTTTTAGTACCCGATGTCGGCTGGTCCGACAGAGTTTAGTCCGCACCCGGCCCAGCCGGCGCGTTCTTGAAAGCCGCTATGGCTGCAGCTGTCAACCCGTAAACGTCATGTGGCAGGGGTCTACAACCCCTACCTATCACAACTAAAATCCTTCCAAGAGTTATATATTAATTAATTTGATCAACGAAACCCCCCCCCCCCCCCGGGCGGTTGGTGATGTAAAGATACGTAAATCGTGAGTGATATGACGAAGGATCAGCTTGGCCTCGTGGGCTTTTGCGTGTGATGGAGGGGGGTATTTTGGCCAACGACTATGGTAATTGCGGTTGGTAGCTCACAGACAAGCTATGATGAGCTGTACTCGGGTGTAGCAATAAGAACCAGAACATGCAAGTGAAGAGACTGGGATTATTTGTATGGAGTGGCGCCGCTCTGCCATACAAATAACCTCATGGCATGTTCTGGTTCTAACCCTTGTACCCGAGTAACCTACCCTGGAAAACGGCAGGGTCTGGTACGGAATTGATGGAGCATCTAAAAACAGGAAAAGTGTAAAGTGCGAGTTCCAAGAAAGAGAGCAAGAGGCCTAAAACTTACGTCTCTCTTATAAACTCATACTCGCCCGCCGCATTTTCAAACATTACGGAGCTTAAAAAAAAAAAAAACGAATCCATTCCATAAGAGCTCCCCTTCCAGAGTTCTTTTCCTCAAACTTCAACCCTCCTAAATCACTAGATCCACATCCAAATCAACCAAACCCATACAAACATAATGGCCGGCGAGAAAGATCGTATCGTTGCCGAGTCTGACGAATCCGCCACCGAAACCGATTTCGGCTCTCCCCCACCCCGCCGAAACAACCGCGGACGCTCCCGCCGTCGTGCCAAGAAGAACCAGCAGCTTCAACAAGGTGGCGGCGGTCCCCTCGGCGGTCTAGGGGGTGTTGGTGACCTGGGAAACACGCTATCACAAACCACGGGACAAGTAGGCCAGACTGCAGGAAACCTTGGCGGCGCAGTATCGAACACTCTGGGAGGAGTAGCTGGCGGAGTAGCAGGCGGAGGTGGTGGTGGTAAGAAGGATACCTTGAAGCTGAGGTTGGACCTAAACATCGATATCCACGTGGAGCTACACGCAAAGATTCATGGTGATCTGGAGTTAAGTTTGCTGTAAGCAACCCTTTATATCTCTATCCCTTTCCGTTTTTGGCCTGACTGAGTCTTGACAAAGTTCTTAATATAGAAACTGATCCTTCCCTATCGGGACCTAGGGGTTGAGTTTGTTGAATATTTTCTATTCATGGGTTGTTGGGTGTATTGATATCGGTTTCCTTTTTTTTTTTCTTTATTCTGGTTACCAAAGTTCTTGTTAATTTCTGTGTTGTTACAAACTTTTTCGAACTTAGAGTAGTGGTAATGTCATACATACTTGCATTAACGAAGGCTAAAAATGACACATAAAATTATACTCATACATACTTGGTGTCCGGTTCGTTCCCACTGTACATGTGCATACGCTTCGGTTTGTTTGCTACCATCAAACATCATCAGAGCACAAGACGGCAAAAACGCCTTACGCTCAGAGTCCAAAACCCATAACAATCAGTGCGAGAGGTGTTGGGCCATTGCATGTAGTACGACTCTGGGGGAGTTTGGGATATGAAGGAAGGAGGTTGATGTTAATCAAGCCATGCATGTCTCATAGCTTCCACCGGTACCAGGAGGAGCCAGTCACCATCGTGGGTTAGTCACTGATTCCCTCGGCAATGATTGATTGGGCTAGTTTTGCGCCAATTTGAAGAAAATTCTGTAGATCACTCGCCCGAATAATCATTACCGAGAAACCGGCGACTGATACGCCGTGGTGACTGGCCACTCCTACGCGGTACAGTGTCAATGATATCTATGTATCCAATCCAACTTGTTCTCCCCAGGTGAAACCTTATAGCGTACTACAAAATACTTAACCTCATAGCAGTGCCTTTCTCCAGTGACAATAGCTTCATCGAACCTTAATTTTCCGAAGTTATTCCCCGAGTATAGTTCCCCCAGACTTAAAGGTAACATGAGAAAAATGCCAAGTCTCTGATAACTTTTCAACCACGATTGATATTAAAAATCCGTAATGGTAGAAGGCTGGATACCATAGTAAAAAAGAGTTCTATCATGACGGATTTTTAATATCAATCGTGGTTGATCAAAAGTTATCAGAGACTTGGCATTTTTCTCATGTTACCTTTAAGGCTGGGGGAACCATAACTCTACTCTAGATCTATGCCAGTCGTATTTGCAATCCAACCGGCCCAATTCTTAACTCCATGTCCACCGGATTCATGAGCTCTCACTCGAGTCTAAGACACTTAGGAGGAGAGCCTATGGTGCCAAGCTCCTTATATATGTCTTTACACGTACATGTAGGTACATCTGATCATGATCACTAGAGCGGTGTATTAAGAGAGGGAGTTGGGGGTAGTGATATTAGAGTGCACTCTATTAGCTAGGCTTGATAGATATCTTTTCTTTAGATATCGACCGCTGCCGCCCTTGTTCGGATTTGAATTGTTTCATCGTATGGTGATTCAGTCACTAGCATCACTTCCACATGGGATTTTTTTTTTTGTTTAATTCATACTCGCATGCAGACCGTAGTCTATGGCGGCGTACTACAATCTTCAGTACAAGTACAGGGCTTCACCCTTTATGCCTACTAGTCGCTTCGTTCAGCAGGATGTGGAATACCCCAACCGGCTCAAGGCCAGCACTCATACCTTAGCCATACTCCTCCGCATTTTTCTCTGCATGTCCCATTTGGGCGCCGGGTGCTGGGAAAACTCTCTCCACGAGCAGAAACCCACCCACATGCCAAGCCAGGAAAGGAAACCATGATTAATATCCCCTGAGTCCTCGCCCCGGCAGGATTCGAACCTGCAACCTTGTCAACCCTCGGAAATTACTTCCACATGGGAGAGTGTATAGGACATTTCGAAAAGTTGTAAATTGGCACAGGCTTTCTTGTGATTGATTGCAATTGTGTAGGAGCTAGCCCGTGAATAGTCGTTGAGTGTTGTCCGAGTATCAAATCTTGCCAAGCTAAGTTAGAGGTACTACATTTAGCAAAAAGGAGAATAAGGCGAATATAGCACATAGCACAGCTATGGCCGTCACTTTCAGGACAATCTCGCCGCAGAATTGGCCGCCAAAAACCTTTAGGGTACTGTGTTAATACATATACGTGTACGGCAGCGCCTCATGTTTCAAAAACCCAGCTGGCGTCAGCACATAAAAAACTTTATTAGAGTGCTTTGAAGTTATGGTACTCATACTAGGCCTAGCATTCCTATTTTACCTACTGTACTGACCTTGGGGATCGGTTACTTTAAGTTTAGAGTAGGTATTCTCCTTAGACACCAAATCCTAACATTCCTGAGAACAAGCCCGGTCGTGTTTGAAATCGAACCGGTTCGGTTCGGAACTGGACTGCGACTGGGTCAGGGGTTATCACTCGATGCCAAGAAATTCATGGTGCTTGAAAACCGCAAGGACGAGCACACAGCACTGTTGCCCAGAGGTCGGTGATTTTTCAAGCAGTTGGAGTTGAACTTTCAACAGCCGTGGTTTGTCTCATACCTAGCAATTTTTGGGCCGAAAAAAATGTGGTTACGTCTCTGTAAAGCTTAAGAGCTACATACAGTGACCTACATAACTGCTAATGTACTCCACTCCTATGATAGACAAGAGTGTCTCAATTAAGCACCAGAAATACCCCTGTAAATAATATTGGTGAGTTAGTAGTAGCAGTCATTCTCCGCAATAAAAGATAAAGCGCGGCTGATATATACACGGTAATACACCTCTGGTGATGTAAATTCAATCGCAGAACATAGTGCTCAGACCCGCTACTACGTAGAGTAGAGTAGGCTATTCAATTCCCGCGCTTACAACGTTGGTTTTGCAATTTGGTAGCTTTTCAACCTTGGATTACTAGGATGGCTCGGTAATGCTTGTTTGGCAATATTATATGTGACACTGATATAACCACATTTAACCATCTAGCCGAATGACGTCATCAATAGTCTGGTCAGGGTAGGTTCCTAGTCCTGGGTTGGTGAGAAACACAGATTCTAGAACTTCCTATCTCAGTAGTGATTTCCAGTGGCAAAGTCACTGAGCCTGACGGCCGATCACTAAGCCACGCCCTATTGTTCGAGGAAAGGTGACACTCACCCGGGCAATTTGCGGTGGTCGGTTGAGAAGAGGTACAAGCTGGTTGTAAGGTAAGGTAGATCTTGTTATGGTATCTATTTGGGTGAGGAAGTGCGTGTGTGAATGGTGGAGTCGTATACGCGCTCTCTTAGATCCCTTCACATCGAGATACCTCACAAATCACCCTAAATCCTTAAAGGCCACCCCAAACAAGATCCGGGGAAACACTTTCATCTTTTGTTACACGAGGAACTAGTTCAGATTACTTGGAGACACCCACACCCTCACTCTATATGAGGTATGCGGTGTGCAAACAAAAGTGCTTTAATCTATCACCCGCCTCAACAACCTCCAAGGCAAAAGAAAAGAAATAAATATAGTACAACATCCATCTTTGACAAGTAACGATGGATAATTAATAGCCCAAATTAATCCCATACACAAACGTAAATCTCCATTTCAAACATAATCAACCATCATACACCTACCACCAATTAATCCCGACCTACAACCTTCATACAGTCGCTTAAGCAGAGGAAAAATCAACCCGTACTGTCGAAAAATACAGTAGTCAATCGCCGAACAACTGCCTCATGCAATCGTCTAGGTACTTTATGAACTATCAATCAGTCAGCCCACTGGGCAGGCCTCCCATGGTGAAAACGACAACAAAGAGAAGGAGAAAACATACAGCAATGCCAATTCCAAATCACCATGAATCTTTGCCTTCAACTCAACGTCCAGCTCGAGGTTAAGATCCAGCCTTAGCCTCAACGGCTTATCCCTCTTGCCGCCACTCTCCTGTTGCATCTGCATCTGCTGTTGCATCTGCTGCATCTGCTGCTGCTGCTGCTGATATTGTCTCTGCATCTGCTCCTCGCGCTGGTTTCGCTGCTGCAGCTCCTTCCCGTCTGTTTCTGACTCAGACACTGCTGTGAGCTGTGGCTTCTTCCCACGGCGGTTGCGGCGGCCGCCACGGCGAGAGCGGGAGCGGGCAGTAGGAGCGGCGTCAGAGTCGTTATCGGAGTGATCGCCCGAGGATTGTGAGCGGCCGCTGTTGTTTGGAGAGTTGGGAGCGCCTTCGTTGTTGTTATTGTTATCATTCTCGTGATCTGACTGCTCCTCACGCTGACGGGAGTGCTCACGCGATGAAGATTGGGCTTCAGGGTTGAACTCGTTGGGCTTTGTTGCTTCTGCTGTAGACATGGCTGCTTGGTTTGATTACGATCTTTGATGTATGTACGTACGGTACTGAAATTTTGAGAGTATTTTTTTACTGTAGACAATCAAAAGGGAAGCTCGAGCTCTATCATGCAAGAAATATGTAGGAGTGTGGAAATTTTATCCTGACGCGCGCGGCCGTGTCCTGCGATGCTATATACATGTATCTCTCAACCTTCCCACGACACCAATGCGATGCGCGCTTGCAGGTTTCTGGTTAAACGACGTCAATAGGCAATCGCTGATTATCACTGACTTGTTTTCTCGGCATGATGCTTGTTTTAGTAACAATCCCTGACCCTGGGATAATCTAGCAATCATCGGGATCTCCAAGAGGGAATTCCAAGGTTTTCCATCCAACGTCACTCGCTTCCTAAAATCCTAGACGCATTCGGCTCCAAGACTTGTTTTCTCCTCTTGGCCCAGGACCCCTGAACCTTTGGCGACATATTTCAAGTTTCTCCTTTTGGGGTAGAGTGAAGTAAGTAGAGCGAGTCCTTGGCAACGGTTGCGCGAGGGGTGTGGCGCTGTCAACCATTATTGGGTTGTCTAACGAAATTCGCGGCTATTCCCTGTTTGTGATGGCGTCAGTCAATGAAGGGAATGATAGGGATGCGTCTCAATGGGCCAATGCCACTACCAACGTCCTCTCCGCCCCCATTCCGAGTTCCGTAACCTGATTGTTAGTTACTCCCTACCATATGTAGAAGGAGTAATAATTAAGATTTTCAGCCACTTAGAACGCAAAGAGTAGCAATGTGGTAGAACAGGTACCATTTACCACGGCTTGGGTGCATGGAGGAACGGTTACACATTTCCAATATGCGGATCGATAAATGGAATACGTGTATACCGATTCACAGGGTGTTTCCTGGATATGTGCCTTAACAACCTTCTCTTTTGATCGCAATGCGCAGCAGTAAATTGCAGAAGCAATTTTCCATCCCTCCCCACGAGAAAATCCGGTGGCGTCGCTCTGACGTTTATCGGAGTCCAGGTTTTACTCTCGATGTGAGAAGGTAGAATTGAGGGTAGTAAGGGAATGAAGTGAGTAAAGTTGTTTATAAAGGCCACACTTGTCCACAGTTCTCGACAATCATCAAGCCAGAAAACAAACACACAAACCAAAACACATTACCACTCTACCACTATCTTCACTTCAAACACATCTTATTATAAACCACAATCATGTCCACCGCCGGTTCTCACAAAGATCTTGAGCTCAAGGAGCACGGCAGCGAGCCCGACCTTGACAACAAGGAGACTAGCCTTATGAAGAGCGAAATGGAGAGCGATGACCCAGAAGTACAAGCCAAGGCATGTGCAAAGCGCATGTCTACGATCGTAGACACTGCTCTAGACCGACTCAAGCCATTCCTTGAGATGATGGTTGAGGTTCGTACATCCCTATCTCATTCCAATAGTGTTTTCACCATACTAACACGAACCAGAGCATAGAGCGTGCCGAGCGCAAGAAGAAAAACGATCAAGAGATCGACGAGCAGGAACTAGTCGACCAAGTCAAGCCGCTCCTCGAGCGGTCCACCACTATCCTTCAAGAATGCTACGGTGCCATCAAGGCCCTTGATCCCGATGGTAAGATCGCAAACAATGCACAGAACCGGGCCAAGAATAGTGAGGCAAGCGCCGAGGAGCAGCATCTTGCACAGGGTCTTGCAACGCTGGCAGGAGATGTCACCAAGACTATTGAGCGCATCAAGGAGTTCATCAAGGATATGCCACATGCGAAGAACCAGCTAGGGCCGCTGTTGGACTTGTTTGGCGGTAAGTTTCCATGATAACTCCCGCGGTGAAGGATGATGATATTAATTAACTTTTGTGGTAGAACCCTTGTTCCAAATTCTCTCTGCTGTCGGGTTGCTCCTGAACGGTGTATTGGGACTCGTTGCGGGTATCCTTGACGGGTTGGGTCTTGGCGGACTCATCAGGGGCCTTCTCAACGGATTGGGACTTTCGAAGCTACTCAAGGGCTTGGGATTGGGCACTTGGTTGGAGGAGAAGCCAAAGAAATAAGCGGTGCTCTTTAGCGTTTTTGTCCTCATTTGTAGTTGTTGAGGCGCATAATTTTTGCTTTAGAGATTTGTATTAGTAGCTTTTACTGTTTTGTTTATGAGGAGACGATGGTACGATATGGCTGAAAAATTAGTATAGGGTTATTGATAGTTGGGGAATATGAGAGAAACTTGTTCAAATGATTTTGATCATAAGTGATGACTCGGTCTTGGCATACCAAATACATGAACCTTATCAAACAACAGTTATATGTAGGCAAGTCCGTTCATTGGCTACGGCCCAATATTCCGCTCTCATATAACTTTGGCTGTGTCCTGAATGAGGAACCGGGATTTTTCTACCCGCAAGCAGACTCTATGTACTCTAGATCGCCTGCTGTCAGTATCCTGATAAATTATGAACGCGTGCTTTTAGCCACTGGCCATGGCTAAAGTTCTAGAATTCCACTGATCGACTATGCACTCGCGTGGCTAGTCATCAGGAGGAAGATCATGATGATCGTCAGAACAGTCTAGAAGTATCTCAAGGCGCTTTCTGAGAATATGGTGTCGAGTGTGGCGGCGTGACAAGATGATCGGTCCTGTGTGGCTTGTTTTTAAGAGCGAGTGCTTGGGTACTGCAGGCAGACACAGTGCTTGTATCCCTTATGCTGTTAAAGCTGCCAACGTTGCCAAGTATATGATCGTGTCTCAATTCTGTGCATAGCCTGCGTGCGAGGTTCGCCTGATGTTATCATGCCTTATGTTGGCAGCATTTAACAGCCTAAGGGGTGCTTCCACAGGTGTCCTGACGTGCTATAGGCCCCTCTGCCATGGTGACACCAGCTATATACAAAACTTCTCTATGACCTGATTGCTACCAGTTTCTAAAAGTGATTTTGATATGGTGATGTGGTGATGTGGTAGTGACAAGCGCTTAAGTACTTGATGTTCTTAGTTGTAGAAAGCCCAGTGTTATTTCTTCGAGTTAACCCCTACCAAACACATTTGAGTGGCTGTAATTAACTGCCCACCTAGGCTCCAACTATCACTACAAACCGATATGAAATGCCGAAGTAGAAGGTGAGCCATTGGTAGAAATATCGCCAATAAATGACCTTTGTACTCTAGTGTTGATGGTGACTTGAGCATTCTTACAAGTAGTCTTGTACCCGTCCCCTACTTAGCAGCAAGCTCAACCCTCCCGCTGGATGCATGTAAGCAGGAAGCCTGAAGACGAGCCCGGAGCATTCCCTATATTTAGCTAATTAGATGGTTAAAAGTTGTATCCTAAACCATCAAGTCCAAACCACTACGACCCATTACCACTACGACCCATTACCACAGATGTAATAATATAAACACAAATGGAGCGTGCTATCACTCCTAAAAACTTGTCAGATCGCCTTGTTTCGAGAGTTTATCGTATCCTGCCTGCTATACACGGTTAGTAGACATCCCGCCAAATCTATCCTGGCTGTTCACGGGCTACCTGCTCAAAGCGCATGAGGACTATTTAGAAGATGTAAGCAGAATCGAATAGTGTGGTGTGACTAGAATAGATCGTATTTGCCAACCGTTGGTATGATGGAGGCAACTCTCAAAATAAAGTAGCTCCTCACGCTACCTGCTAAATACCCTGGCAGTATGTGAAATGCGCTCAGCCAATACCCTGATGTCAACTACTGTGGTGTCTGGTGCCGGCCGGTGGATTTATATCATTAGCACTGTAAGTCACAGCTCAGCAAGCGATCCCGCCCCAAAAATGACATTTACTAATGCCGTTTTAGAAAGCAAAGGTGAAGTGTCAATTGCCGAAAATTGACGGTTGATGGGTGTCTCGCATTGGACCGGGACTGTTGATGTTGATAGTGGTTGCGGAATCAAGTGAAGGTAAAGCAATGTACGAGACTCTTATATACCTTTAGAAGTCTTGGCATAGCCTACGCTCAACCTCCTACTATGACCACATAGTGATAACCAATCACACATGTATTTAACTCCGGAGCTCAGTAACTACATCCTGTAGCCTACCATCAACAGAAACATTCAGCGGGGGTGTCATAGCCTGCGTGCCGCATCTGCGAATGAATTATCAACCAATAAATAATCCCGAGTGATTTCTCATGAGCCAGCATCCGGATATTTCTAAATGCGCGCCTTTATCAGGACCACAACACAAAAGATAGAAGGGGCAGAATCTGCGATGTACATACGCCAATGCGCGGACAAATCAATGGGGTTAAACATCTTGTATTATCTCTCATCTGTTACATCCCCCCCCAAACGTCGCATGGGCATACCACCGCAAACTCAAAGATTGCAACTTAATATCACAACACAATCATATAGATATATCTTCCCTCGTTCTCAATTTCCCCAGCATGATCAAATTACCAAACCATTGAAACCTAAAGCAAAAGAAAAAAAGTTCTGCCCCAAGAGAGATCAATAACAAAGGGGTAAATAAACAACGCTACTCTATCCACGCTACAACACTAAGAAAGGAGATTTTTAAATGATAGAAACTTTGGAGAATATAACCGATGGAACCCATACATAACGGAAACTGTGCCCCCCCAAACAATAAGTAACCCAAAGTAACCCCGCGGTATAAAGTATACCATCCTCAGATAGGCTCAAACGAACCTGATACCGTACATAAAAAGGAAAATAAAAAAAGGAAAGTGAAAAAGAAAAAGGGAAAAGCTACCCAAGCGCCATGTGTGGTTCACCACCAACAGAAATAAAAAGAAACCCGAGAGATATTCTCAGGAATGTCGAAGGACAAAAATCACGCTTAAATCAACGAACCGGTCTCAAAGCTCTGGGTTCTTAACCTTCCTCCCTTCAACCACCTTTTTGAGCGTTTCAAGTCGCTCCTCCATGATACCTATCGCCTCCTCGACCTCCCGCTCTTTCATCCCTTTGGAAATGGCACCTCTTCGGTTACCTAGAACCCTCTCAAATGAATCCATCCGACGGCCTCTACCAATATCCCCTACACCGCCAAGCCCTGAACGGTCCTCGAGCCATTCCCAGAGGCCTTCTTCCTCTCGCTGCCAAGCCTGGTCCCAATATTGAGCACCACCAGCTGGGCCATTTCTAATAACAGTCACGGAAGCCTGTTGATTCCCACGTCGAGACATGAAAAGCATAACGACAAGGACACAGATGATGATAAGGCTGAGGTTGCCACCAACAAGTGGCTGAATCATATCCACGACGGGGCCGAGATATGTCTTCAATGGTGCGAATACCCCCAGCTCTCCATCTCGGCAGGGCTAGAAAATCCAGCGGCTTGAGCTACACGCCCCTTGACAGTTCCGCCGACAGACCGGCCAATAGCCTCTCCCTTAGCTTCCATAGCCTTTCGCTTCTTTTTGCCCTTAAGTTTGGCGGCCTTACTAACGGGCTCCTTAGGCAAACACTCTGTTTTCAGAGCTTTGATAAGATCTGCGTTGTAGGCAATCTGCCCGTCGCTGGCACCCTTTTCAATAGGACCTACCCATGATAAGCATCGAAAAAATAGAACCATTTGTAGCATAGAACATACCTTTTAGCCAACTCTTTCCTGACCACTCTACTGTACAATTCGCAATCATTCTCGTGTGACCCCCCTCGCCCCACATAAGACAATATTTTGATTTAACCACAAACACATTTCCCGACGGAACATCTGGTGTTTGTGTGGCTACGACAACGCTCACATGATCCTCCAGATCACAGAATTCAATCGTCTCAGTGATGAGGCACTTTGTCTGTTTTGGTCCTATCGGTCCACCAAGAGGCTTGATGTAAGAGAACGATCGAACCTTTTTTCCACCCTCTCCTTCTGTCCACTCGCCCTTATCTGGAATTTGAATGTCGAGAACCTTTTCCTCCTCTGCAAGAAAGCGTGAAATGAATGGATAACTCCCAGGCCCAAAAGCAAGCGAATAGACCTGTCCTAAAGGCGCTGGGATAATTTCGTCGCAAAGTGGTTTATCATAGTGAGCATGGTCGGCTGCATCGGTGCATACAGTCGGAGGATGAGTCGCCGGGCCAGGGTAATCTGCAGCCGGAGCCGCTCCAGGAGCCGCCGCTTCGCCACTGGTAGCTCCCCCCCCAACGGGCTGTTGGCTGACTTTTCTGCTTACGGTTTTTGAAGCAGTAGCGTCCCCATTGGCTTTTGTATCCAAAAGGCCATCCCCGGCGTCGGTGTAACTCTCTCCAAGGTCCTCATCGCTATCATCCTCGTACTCATCCTCGTCTTCATCTTCCTCGTACTCACTTCCACCATCAGCCTGCTCTTGTTCTTCTACTTCGCCTGTAGCACCACTTTCCTCTAGCCTGACGCCAGTTAGGTTTGCCACAAGCTGCGGATGCCCAATTCTCCAGATCCCAACAATAAGATCATATGTGCTGTCCCTAGAAATAAAGCTCGCAAAGACATGACGAGCGTGCAACGTCTGAATTACGATTGCATTCGGAAACACCATCGCAGTACTCTTCTTCTCGACACTTACGACTTCGTCAAAACTGATAACCAAAGTATTTATCCACCCAAAAATATTCGAGTTAAAGCAAATGTGACCCTCAGAAACGTAGAACCTTCCCTGCAACAAAATCTCCTTCTGAAGCGCACATCCATAATCTTCAATAAGATAATCATCCTCTGGTACTGATCTGAACAGATTGTGGAAATCACGATTCCTCTTCTTGCTTGCCACTGCAAACCCAGTCGGTTTAGGAGCGGGCTGTACATTTCCACCAGATGCAGCAGAAGAGCCACGTTTCCTCCCAACTCCGGTGGAACTCTTCACGCTACCAGATCGCCGTCTGTCACCATCGCCGAACCATGCATCATCCATTTCATTCGTAGCCAGTATACCGCTTCGTTCAGGAGTCATAGTCCCGGCAGCTGGAAGGCTATCTCTATGCGAACCACTATGAAAAGCGGAATCTTCTGCAACAGGTGTTCTGACCGTCCTTTGGGGATCACTCATCCTTGTAGTATGATTTATGGGACTGTTGGCGGCGGTTTCAAAATTCATATCTTGGTTGCTGATAGCAGAGAAAGGTGTCGGCGACTTCATGCTCGTGGCGCTGTGGGGGTCTGAAGCGTGTGAATCATTATGCGGGGCAGCCTGGTCGCCATCTGAACTGTTATTAGATCTTGATACGGAGTTTCCTCCCTCGGGCACCCTCTTTGGACTAGGCAATATGCCCAAACTTCCCAAGCTAAGTTCTCCATGACCCAGTGTCTCAACCGCTAACCTTCTCTGAGGCTCTGCCCTCCGATCTGCCTCTGAGCCTCCGTGAGCAATGTTTTCCTTGTCATGATCACTCTTGTCCGACAATCCTGTTGCAGTTCTAGGACGGCCACCGGGGCCATTATTCGCCAAATTTGTGTTGGCGATACTATTGCTGATTGTCGTGGCAGCGGTCTGTGCAGCTGAAAACATACTTTGAAAGAAACCTCCCGTCCCAGCCTGGTTGGTACCGCCCGGTGATCCGCTTTCCTTGGGGAGAGGCGTCTCGCTTGTAGGTGTTAGTGGTGCAGTCATGCTTTGCGAAAGCTTACTTGGGGTTCCGCTTAAGGAGTTTGTTCGATTTCGCGTCCGCGTCGTACCTCCAGAGACTACTGCGCCTACTGGACTCTTTGGAGAGAAATGACCCGAGCCGTCAGTCGGAGTAGGCGGGGTAACTGTTGTTTGGACAACGGTTCCATCTGGGTTATATGGGTCTGCAAGAGTACCAGGCGAAGCATGGTCCTTAGTTATTATTCCACCTGGCCATGCCCGACCGTTCCGGGGCGCGTTTGATGAGGGGTTCTCTTGCCCGAGAGGTATTTCGCTAGCATCGGAGGTGCCGACGGATGTGCGGCCCGTGCGCCGTCCACGGTCTTCGGACCTCCTAGACTCGCCTCCTGAGGTTGCGGGCCTGACTTCGGAGGTCTCGCTAGGGGCCGGAAGGTTCGTATTCACCCAAGCTAGCTTATTCGGCATTCCTCCGTTTTTCGTGAGGGGATCCTCTTTCTCCAAGGGGGTCGGAGAGGTTCCACGGCGGAACGGTGCCTTGAAGATGTCTGCGGCACTTCTAGGAGCTGGTTTCTCGGACAGGTTGTTCACAGCTGTTCCTGAACTCGCTATTGTGCCGGTAGCTTGTGAGAATGTAGCGGCGTATACTGGCTTGCTGGGCATTGGCTCATTAGACTTCTTTGAAGGTGTCAAGACACCAGCAGTGTTGGGACGTGGTGGAGAGTTGCTGCGATGAGAATTAGCTTTACTGAGCTGTATATTGCAAATAGAAGAACTGAGTAGTGAACAACAGAGCTTGTCTGCAGTGTAAACTGAACATAAAGAATAAGGCAAGCTTATATCAACAGGGCGAAGAAGGACAGGACAGGAATAGAACACATGGTTGAGGACTAGTAGTGTGCTAGTGGCACCGGTGAACCCCAGTAAAAGCAAAGGCAGACAAGGCGGCTGAAAAAGCACCACTTACGCTTCTGTTTCCGAATCATAGGACAAAACGCCATCATCCTCACTGGCTCGCTCCTTATGTTCTCCACCCTCGTTCTCGTCGGTCCTCTCACCATCCTTGATGCTCCCAATGGAGCCGCTTCCTGACCCGTTTTCACTCCTGGCCCCTTTCCGTTTGAATATGCTCTTAATACCCTTTCCCCCGCTACCAGTTGAGCCTGGGCCCGAATCGGTTGGAGCCTTATCCTGAAGACTTTCGCTACTCTGGCCGCTTTTTAGGGAACTGCCGGCCGAGCCCGAAACGAGATTGTCAAGTGAGGGTGAAGACCCGAGATTTACGGCGGACTTCTTCTTGCGATTGAACAAGCCGATTTTTCCTCCGGTGGGTGTGGCGGGGGCTGAGTCTGACGATGAAGGAGGAATGGGCTGCTGGTCTGTGGCTACTGTAGACATTGCTTATAGATTTGATAAGAGAACTAAAGAAAGAATAAACTGATATATGTGGATCTCCCCAGCTTTGCTGGGAGAGATCTATAGATAAAATATTGATATGTAGTGGGAAAAAAGATTCAGTGAGGGGCGAATGAGGGGAGGGACGAAATGGGACGATGGTGGTGGTGGAAAAGGAAAAGAAGCAGAAGGGGAAGAAGAAGCTCTCAGGAGGTTTAGATGGGGAGAGGATGAGATGATGACAGAGTCCTGGAACAGTGGAACAGGTGGAAGAGCTAAGTACCTCCTCGCACAGACAGACTGCAGAGTGAAGCCACTTCCTGGGATAGCACTCTAATAAACAAGGCGTTATGGACCTATGCTAGATGCACTTAGCTACCGGACTTTCTCTTGGTCCTGTCCGTCCTCGCGACAAAGAACAAGCCGTGGTGACAGAAGAGATCCCAGCACACGGGTAAAACATGACACCGGGACCCGAATCAGCCACAGATTCTGAGCCTGAGCGCTTACTGAATTGAGATCTACGCCACATCCCTACATTGATTCAAATTTCTCCCTCCCACCGGTAAAGGAGGTGCTGGAAGAGCAACTGCAACTGCTCCACGAAAAAAAGAGCAATAAGTGTTCTACGCCGTTTCTCAAAATGGGTGAATGTCAATGCAAAGCATTGATATTCGCCGCTCTCTGATGTGGGATTAAGGTTAGCGAGAGCTATTTTTAAACCTCACATTCCCAGGGGAAGTGAGACTGCAGCTACGAACCAGCATCTCCTTGCATCAGCGTAAATTTCATAATTTACAGCGGTATAGTAGGGCTCGGAGTTCGGTGAGAGTTCTCGCCTTTTACTTATATCACTGGATGTCACTCGCGTCGAGAAAACAATTTCCCGGTTACCCCACTAAAGATTCACGGTGCACATAAAGTACCTACATGTACCTACATGTACCCGGTAAACGAACAGATGGGAATCACCGTTTTTAGGGCGTTACACAACGTCTCACTTTCATCTCTGCATATTGGGGCCAGAAATTACCCATTTGCTTGATGAAGCTTGTCTGTGTAGGGCTAACGAAAAAACGAAGACTTGATGCGCGGCGTGCTTACTGAATATGGTCTTATAAGTCCAAAAGAGGGAAAGGCTACAAAGAAGCTTCGTACTGCCTGTAGGCCACATGGATTTGACACCCAAATAAATTAACCTTGTTACCAAACTTTGATTGCACCTTGTCTACTCAAAAATAGGAGAAATAGATTAGGCCCGATAACAGTACGAATACGAAAACCGTCAAACTTGTAAAGGGGACTATAATATTATTTACTTGGCACACCATTGAAGAGATATCAGTGGTGTACCAGCATATTATAATCTACTCAGTTAGTGGATATCGAATAATAGACAATGTGCAGTTCTACATTGAAAAGGTAAAGTCTAGCCATGTAAACTTGGACATCTTAGAAAGTAATGGCTCAAGAACGATCATATCAACTCCTTTGAGCATCGTACTCCAGTGAGCTCTAATCATTCAAACAGTCACATACACGCGTACGCATAGTACTAGCTTGAAGTACTCACACTGCAGTACTAATCATAAGCAATGACTCGCTAGCAGTTAAATGAGTCCCATCTCCATTCTCAAGCAAATGTGTCTGTAGAAATACGCGCGAGGACCCAATCCCTTGCTTAGCTGATGTTGACATATTAATATACCATCCAATTGAAGTATAACCGTGGCTGAAGAGCTATGCGCCCAAGCATTGGCACGTTGATATTTTCCTTCAGGACGAATCGAATGTAGGCTCACATGTACCCAAGGTGCATAACAAACTGCACTTACCGCAGCATGGAAGGCTAAGTCTGAAATAAAGTGCGGATCAGCATCAGACCAAATGATTTACCTAGCCAATGGTAAATAGCTTTGGATTTAAAGTGCACTTCCACTACGCTGCAGCAGTTAGGGCGATTCATACACAAGGTCTAGTAGAGTTAATCTATAGATCGAGCTTAAGGTAAGCTCTGAAACATCCAGCTTTTCGTGAATCCAAAAGATCAAATCGGCTTTACCCAGTTGGCCAATCACAGAACTCACCCGGACCGGATCCTGACTTGATCCGCACTTTGACCGCCGTGCGCAGTCTACGACATATGCCTAAGATGTAGCCAGCTCCGAGGCTCCGAGACCTAGAGTAGTTCGGAGTGTAATCCTCCACCTATAGGCACAAAAACTAATGACAGCAGCAGATACCTCCACCAAAGAAAACTGTCCGTCGATAGGCCCCCAAAGTTCATGATTTAGGGCGCAGGCGAGCTCACGACTACTATGAACAGCCTAATAATACCACACTTTTCTCAATCATTTCCGACCTGATCACCATCCGGCGTATCATTCCCATTACTTTCCCTCTATGCTTCACCAAAAGCACAATCTTAGCGTCATTCTCATGAGGTAGCAACCTCTGGGGGCTATTCCAGTGGTATTGTTCGCTAACGATAATTATTAGATTAGATTGGTTAATGCCGAGCACCTCTTCGACGGGATGGCAATTCTTCATCCAGGCCAAGGTAGGTCTATTATTTTCAACAGTAAGCAGAAAGGTTAAAATCGAAGTCACTATATATAACTAAACTATTTGTTAAACTTAAGGTAATTTATATTTAACCCGACTCTTCTCACAGGCCGTTTACTCAAAATACCTATTTTAGCCTTACGTTTATGTTTACCTATGAGATCTTCCCTGTATTATTAGTCATATGGTATCACTCGATGTTTGTTTCCTGAATGTTTCCACAATAATTTTTGGGGTTTAATTCATGATGTTTTCAACAATAGGAAACACTAACATAATAAAAATGATATTTATTGCACCACCAATGAAGAAGGCTTTTTCCTACAATAGACAATAGGCCAAAATTCTCACTCCTAAGAGGAATGCCACCGAATCTGAAAACTCTCGGCCAAAATTCGTGCTCCGTATGCTTTCGGATGTTTTGGAGCCTTCTTTATTGGAAGAGAAATACCATACTATTTCTTATTAATTCCTAGAGTGCTAACCTCCATGGCGTCAAGGTGGTTCTCCCACTCCAAAATACCAGAACCATGAGGTTATTTTGGTAACTTCAAAGAATCTCACCTGCGTACGAACCCAGTCGCAGGTTATGGTTATCTCAAACATGCGCACTTGCAAGTAGAAGAATCTGTGAAATAGACGTTTGATCTTTACTTATTATTTCTTAATCGTGGTGATTCCTCCAGACATAATTTTCCTTGGTATTCTTATCGTTGTAGACTTTTCCATCACCCAATAGCCTTCTACCCTTACCCTTATGATTTCCTCGCCCAACATTTATCTCCCCTGCGGGCGCTGATGAGGCCTGGAAACCTCGTGGCGGCTAAGCTCCATGACGTCTCCCTTTTTTGGAGGACCAGATTTAAGGAATCTGTGCACGATGCGCTCAACCTCCTAAAATGAGCAGTAACATTTGTTAGTAATCTTTGATTCGTCCTTTATGTACGCAAGGGTGGCTCACGTCAATGTCATCCGCGGGGACTTTCTGCATTGGCACATTGAAGTAATCCGCAACTTCACACAACTCCTTCCAGGTGCTTTGATTATGGACGAACGAGATGCTAACACCCACTCTGCCAAACCTTCCGGTCCTCCCGATGCGGTGGAGGTATGTGGGGGTGTCTACAATCACCATACCACTGTTGGTCACCATAGTTGGCAAATCGTAATTGACAACCATGGAAACAGTCGCAACGTCAATTCCACGCGCAAGGACATTGGTGGTAATCAAAACCTTCGCCTTTCCCGACCGGAAGTCGTCGATCACGTTGTCTCTGCAGCTTGAGTTTTCGAGTTGTGAGTGCAACACAGCAACTTTATGGCCAACCCTGGTCATACGCTCGTAGATCTTGTCTGCATCAACGCGGCGCTATTTCTAGGTTAGCTAGATACAACGAGAAGAGGAAATGAAAACTTGCTCTAACGAAAATGACGGAGGAACCAATGGTGAGAACTTTGTAAAGATCTGTGAGGACACGGAACTTATCTGCTTCGTTGGCACAGTCCATGTACATTTGTTTGATGCCAGCGACGGTGAGTTCGGCATGCTTCAATGAGAGAGTATTCGCATTTGGGGCGAAGCGTTCGGCATAAGATACTACAGATGTTGGAAAAGTGGCGGACCAGAGAGCGATCTGTACCCCCGCAGGCATAGTCCTGATGGTATTAGTTGGAGAGAGAGAAAAAAAAAAAGAATGATAGAATGTCTCACATCTTGACCCTGATGCACTGATCAGCCATGTTTTGCTGATCCAACATATTGTCTGCTTCATCTACGACGAATATCTTAATGTCTTGAACCGAGAGAATCCTGCGCCGGATGCACTCAATTACAGTGCCTGGAGTGCCGATAATAACATGTGCATTCATCATTTGACTCCTGTCCACCATGTTTGGAATTGCGAACTGGCCTTTTACATTGGTGTACCGTCCCATCTTTTTAAGGACATCCCCGACTTGGCGAGCGAGTTCACGGGTTGGCTCAAGAACGAGAGCCTGTGGCTTTTGGAGTCCAACATTAACACGAGAGAGAATATTGAGCATGAATGCTGCCGTCTTTCCTGTGCCAGACTGTGACTGGGCAATCATGTTATGAGGGGGGTTAGCAAGAAGAAGGGGTAGAGCCATTTCTTGGATCTTTGACGGACGTCGGAACCCCATGTCGTGAATCCCGCGCATGATTTCATCGGAGCTAGAAAGTTAGCCAAGCGGAAGAAAGATGATTGTAACAGAGGAGTGAGCATACAGTCCTAGTTGCTCAAAGGTCTTTACCGAATACAAAGGGCTACTCGGATCCCCTTGTAAATCAGAGAGTTTAAGGACCACATCCTGTGCGCCATCGTCTTCTAGGGAACTGTTTCTCGGTGGGTTGTTGGCTGCGTCTCCGTCGTTCAAAGAGAAAACCAAGCCCTCATCGTCGTCGTCGTCGTCGTCATAATTAAGTTCGATATCTTGGGGCCTGGAAGCGCCGTGGATGTCACGAGACATTGTTGGAATTTGTGGTTGGGAGTTTAGATGAATATCAAGATGAGGTAGATGACGGTCAAGGAAAAGAGTGCGATGATGATGGGGTGGATGTCTTCGTGACGGAAAAAGTTCATTGATGTTTGGTTGCAGGAAGAAGTTTGGAAAAGGCACGCTCCCGGGTGAGTGTGCGAATTTAGCGAGTGATATTGCATGACGGAAGGCTTGTCACGTGGAAGGCTCGTGATTATATAAGCAATAACAGAAGTATTTTTTTGGGTCAATGGCGAATGACTAAGAACCAGATGAATTCTGCAGGCCTGATCCAGCTGTCTCACCCCCACGGAATTACTCATCTGTGCATTTATGTGTTGTTTACTCCATGCAAAACAGCCAGACACTTTGTTTACTGAGATCTATTTTTCTTTATCTCGTTGTTTCTATCTTTATATGTAAATTTAAGTTATGATTCTCCTTCTAGTTTTTATTGACTACAAAATGAATGGACATTCGCCATTGATCCGGGAAGGGTTCTACATGTTCCTCCTGATGGTGATTGACCCATGACCCTGCAGGTCAGCCCCAACAACTTGGCAGATGACCGGCATTCTGCAGGGACATGACCGGGGAAGCTAGAATTGAAGCTGAATGTTTTGAGACAGCTCAGTAACTGTCGGTCTGTCAAATATCTGTCTATCTGTCCAATGACTACTCTTCATCGTGTTCCCCTTCGATCACTTATTCTAGCGAGAGCTCGGAACGACATAAAAGAAGACAGAGTGGTCGATTACAGCGTCGACCGCTCTTAAAACCGTCCTCGTTCTTGCGACTTTGTGTCCAGTACTACCAACAGATTCTATATGTGTTGAGTACATGTAGTGAGGCTCAAACAATCTACGCCCTAAACTCCAGAGATCCTAGATCGCTACTAGATCTCACCCGAAGCATTTCTAAGCATATCTACCCCCCAGGGCGTTCAGCGGCGGCAACTATCCTCTGTCCCCTTATCCTTCTCCTCTCAAGCTTTCTCCATCTGGCGTCATTCTCAACCCAGCGCAAAGATGGATGCCTTCGTATTTCCTTGCCCTGAGTGGCTCTCCTCACTCTCCCCCGTCCAGTCACTCTCCAAGGCCCTTAATCTCCCTACCCTCCCGGTCCATATCCACTATATCCTCTTGGCCTTTTGCACGTATCATTCGATATTTCTGTTCATCTCGCCCTTTTTCTCGCGCCTCCTCCTGCCAAACATATACCCGAATTTCAACAAGCGCACGAAGGTCAACTGGGACGTCCACGTGGTGTCGTTCATCCAGAGCACTTTCATCAGCATCCTTGCACTCTGGGTCATTTTCAACGACGAGGAGCGCGCCGCATGGAGAGAGCAAGGGAACACGGACGCCATGCTTGGGAGGGTATTCGGGGAAACCCCCATGTGCGGCGCCGTCACGGGCTATGCTGCGGGCTACTTTTTGTGGGATCTGTTTATGAGTGGCTACTACCTGAGTATCTTTGGCCCAGGCTTCCTGGCACATGCCGCGAGCGCTGTTGCAGTATACAGTCTCGGATTTGTGAGTATCCCACCAGCGCGCGCGCGCGTGTCCATGTACATTCCTCGGAGGATGAGCCCCCGTCAAAAATGCTGTTGCACAAAAGGTTGTTGTTACTCGGCTAATCAGGTTCCATTGACAGCGTCCATTCGTAAACTTCTATGCGCCTGTCTTTGTCCTCTTCGAGCTTTCCAGCCCCTTCCTCAACATTCACTGGTTCTGCGATAAGATCGGGCTTACAGGCTCCAAGGTCCAATTGTACAACGGGTTCCTCCTGATCGGTACATTCTTTGGCTGCCGTATATGCTATGGCACCTGGTCCGGTTACCTGGTCATGAAGGACGTGTGGAGCACCCACTTTGACCCCCCCTCAGTTTTGACCGCCGCGGCAAAGGGCGCCGATGAGGTGATCCCGCATGTGTTTGAAGGGTTCGGTGTGCCGTTCTGGCTGGCTGTGGTGTACTTGACATCGAACAGCATCTTGAACCTGTTGAACTACTTCTGGTTCAGCAGGATGATCCAGACCGTCGCCAGCCGGTTTACCGGGGACAAGAAGGCGGTCAAGGAGGTGAACGTCGAGGGTCATGACCTCACGATTGCTTCTGGGATCGAGAAGCCGGCGGCGAGGAGGAGGGAGGCTCAGACCTAGGACGAGAAGGAGTTTTCAATTCGGGAGTTTCTTTTTCTGGTTACACTTATGTACTAATAAATAGACTCGACGTATTTATTTATGAAGACAAATGGTATGAACATGGACTGGTTGGTTGGTTGGTTAGTTGGTTGGTCGGTTGGTCGTTCGGTCGGTTGGAGTTTGCTGCTTAGTTTCGATTTTTATTTTTATATACTTTTTTATTTATCCTAGTTGTGATATCTTAGCTGCGTTGCAGCTAGCTGGCGCCATGGAAACGAACATCTTGGAAGAACTTGCATCTAGCATCTCCAGCTTGGCTAAAGTCTTTACAATCACATCTGTTTCCTATCTGAACTATCTAAAATTAATGGCCGGTACGTGATAGTTAGGCCTGCATGAGTCACGATGTGTCACTCGCACGGCTGAGAGATTATAAAATTTGTTTTGTCCCTATTGGCTACATATTAGGAATTACTCGGGCTCTCTCTCTCTCTGGGCTCAAGCCGAGGCCCGAGGGCGAGCCCGGTTTTGTGTCAGTTTCCTGGACTCTTGTGCTAATCTATCTGGTGGTCCCGATCCCTCAAACGCTCTCCTGGAAACATCGTGTAGTACTGGCGTTCTATACATGTATTTTGAACTCGTTGAGACCTGTTTTGTTTTCGGTCATCCTAAACACAGTTAATATTAACCCCCAACTCGCTACACAAGATCTAGAGTTATCTACCCCCAATTCCAATTCCAATCCCAAAGCACACACTCCAAACCCATCCAAGCCTCCCAGTTCACCCGTAGAGATCCAGTGAGTATAATCCAGAAACACCGCAACAGCCAATTAAACACCCCCCGTTTCATGAACTATGACAAACAATGTCAAGTCCACGGCTTGGCTCACAGCCACTCACTCGATATTAGCCTCCATTCTCCCACTTGCGTGTCTCAAAGGGTCTAGCGGAGAAAACAAGAAAGAAGCATCTCTACCGTCGTCGTGCGCCGTGCTATCGTGATATATCATTTTTCTATCAAACAAGATATAGATGGTTCTTCTCCAGCTGATAGTCGATCGAGTTATTCTTATTCCGCCGTGTAATCTCCCAGTTTTAAACCCTCTTGTTTTATTTTCCTCGAGAGGAGAGGCCAAGACAGTGAAGTAAATCTCAATGTAACATCGATCTACCGTACCAGCAGGCAGGCAGCAACATAGGGTTTAATAATAAGGCAATAGCCTAGCTATTAAGTGCAACACCGATGTCTCAGCTACAACAGAGAACAGAATAAGTACCACATAACTTTCCTCCCCCCCTCCTCCGTAGCAGCCACCAAAATCTCCTCAAAACGACTTTAGAAAACGCTGTGCTGCCAGCTAGAGAGGTGAATGCGCAATATGTCTCCTCTCCGCTAGCTCATTCACAAATGTTCTTCACGCAGCACGAATATTCCAAATAAAAAGAGCAACTTTGACGACCTTCAACTCCTGTCATTTCTCATGTACTGTAGCCATCTCTTTCTCTTTTCATGCAAGGCGTATATACAGTCGTTGTTTTCCTCCTTTCCTTTCCTTTCCTTTCATTCTTTGCCTTCCTTACCCATTCACACATCGATGCCATGTCCGTAAAACCTTTATACCAGAGTAATAATACTTTTCTTCGATCCTTTGATACCTCTTCTCCCTTTTTTTTCTTCTCTTTCTTTCTTTTAAAACGCCGTTACTGATGAAATCTGGGTATACGCAGAGCTAGTTGTTTGGACGCCTTATTTCGAGATCTGATACCACGGCTGATTATTAGCAATCTTACGACGATTTCAATGAGAGGATACATACTTCCAAAGAAGACAATGAGCAGCAGCGTCATCGCACCAACCGTCAGAACCGCTGTCACCATCGTGCAGCTGGTCGGCCAGTCGTCCACGATCGAGTTCTGGTAATACCTATACAACCCAAGCCACACACACACACGCACCAAGTCTCAGACCAGTACTTCCACTCTACATCAAAGACACAACTAAGGAGCAGAAATAAATAAATACCTAATGGGGCTCTCCCTCGGCAATACTTCTGATGGCCCAGACTCTGAGCTCGCTGGTAGCACCTTTCTAGACAACTGATCTGCTACATCTTTTTTCTCTGCAGCGGCGGCTTTCTGACGGCTGTTCGGCGGCCCGTCAAGCTGCTCAATTGGCGTCTGGGCCTCCAGATCTCTTGCACGGGCCTTGCCCTTCCACTTTTTCTGGATTCTGGTTGCGTTTAGGAGCTTTGTCGTTTCGTTGCTCGTCTTGGCCCTCCCCTGGGCGGCGGCGGCAGCGAGGTAATTAGTTGGCGGCATGGTATTATCAATTGGCTGCATGCAGGTAAGAAATATAACTGTTTTTTTTCTTCTTTTTTTTCGAGCACGGTGATAAGTGGGCTGATTGGTTAGGTAGGTAGGTAGGTAGATAGATAGAACAGCAGCAGTTATACTAGTATGACTCTTGGCGGGCACACCAGGTCCTTGAGCTTGTCGATGAGGAAGTACACGAGCAGCGGCTGGACGAGGAGCAGCAGGAGGAGGAGTGTCACGGGGAGGATGAAGAGCGGGACGCCGATGAAGAGGAGGGCGAGGAGGGCGAGGATTGTGGTGAGTGTTTCTGTGGGCGTGATGGTGATGGTGGCTTTTGGTGGCATTGGGTGGGGGGGGGGGGGTGCACGGGTTATCGTGGCCTGTTGGTTTGGTTTGTTGGCGTGAGGAATGGAAGGACAGTATAGTGATAGTGTGTTGGGTGTACTAAGTTGGGTTTGGGGGGGGGATCTGGGGATGGAGGATGGAGGATACTTGTTATCAGTAATACTTACTGCTACTGGCAATTGTGGGCACGGCGGGCGCGGGGATGCCGCTAGTAAAGACTACTTTGAACTGCTAACAGCTCTATGTTCTGCTCAGAGAGATAAATCTGGTCATCCCCTTGCAATGGGGAGAAGGAAAAGTACAACTACTTGGGACGGGGATAGATATGGCACTGCGAGTACGTACAGGAAGGAAGGCTTTGTGAAACCAACACTCCCTTCTCACAAATAATGCCATCAAGAAATCAGAGCTTCAAAGTCTATAGTCAGTCAATCCTATGTTCTTCCCCCATACCGAACCAGGCGTGTATCGAAGTTACCACTGGTCTCTAGTAAGAAATACAACCCTGCTTCATGTGCAGTCACTCGGCCATGCCAACCCCACAAATTGTCTGCTCAGAAGGGCGATATAGGCAAAAGCACCCGCCGGCACACTGTACTCTACACCCACCACACCCACCCACACCCCTCACCACACCCAGGAATGCCGTGTGCATTCCTCACGTCGACGAGCTCGCGCGAGCCCTAACCGCCAATTAGGGCTCTCGTTAGGGCTAGTGCGGCCGGCCGGTAACAGTAACCAAGCTGCATAGCAACAGATCCAGCAAGCGAGCGACAACAACAACAAAGAACACGAAACCGATCCCTGTTCGCGATAGGCAGCGCAAACACCATCCATCCATCCACACATCCATCCACACACACCACCACCACCACCACCACCGCACCACCGCCAGAGAGAAAAGAGAGAGAGAGAAAGAGAAAGAGACCCCCACCCAATAAGAGTATCATAGGCATGTCACCTGCCATAGGTACATGTAATTGCCATTGTTCTCAGCAGCAGCGCCGCCGCCGTGCATACTACTACTAGCCAGCCAGTTGATTGTATTACCCACCCACATCAATCCATCCAATTCATACAATACAATACCTACATACAATACATACCTACAAACTACATCATCATACACATACACACATACAAACACATTATACACAGCGAGCGAACCTCATGCAAGTGTTGGTGCTGAGTGGTCGTCCATGCAACCCCCAGAACAAGGCGACGATATCGGCGCAGCACATCCGAGATATCACTACAGCCCCGCAGGTATGTCATATATATATTTATATCAATTCTTTCAGCCTTGTTTTTCCCCCCCTCCTCTCCCCCCACAAAGGGCCCGTTCCCGTTCCCAATTCCCCTTTTTCTTTTCTCCTTTCTCTTCTCTCTCTTCTCTCTTCTCTCTTTGCTCCATCCATCCATTCATCCACACATCCAAGCAAAGAAAGAAAAAACCAAACCGCTAAAATTTCGTCCCCCCACCTAATGATGACCCTACAACACAGACCTCCAGATCCTGCACGAAATCATCTCCCTCGCGACCGTCTTCCCGGGTAAGAACTCCTTCCGCGCCGTCTACAGAGCCTACGATGTCGTGCTCGCCGCCCGCCGCATCAACCCCGCCTTCGACAGCGTCTACTTCCGCTTCATCCTGCAGCTGCAGTCCGTCCCTGGCAAGAACATCTACGACCGCTTTCTTGACCTTCTCTCTGTTAGCCCCCCTCCCCCCCCCCCCCTCTTCTTCCTCCCCTACCCTCCCCTCCTCCTCCACCCAACCTAACTACCTAGCTAACCCCCGCGCAGAGGCAAGGCATCGACGGCCGCTTCCTGGAAACGCCGTCGGCGGCGGCGACAGCAGAGTTTACACGGCAGCGCTACGACACCGCGCGCCGCCGCCGCGACCGCTCCAGCCACGGGAACACCGACGTCTCGTCGGCCGACGAGTACCACCACCACCGCCATACTGCGCGCAGGTCGTTCAATGGCCTGGCCAGCTCGCCGACGCACGAGGCTACCGTAGCAGCTGAGCTGGCTGCGCGCACACGGAGGGAGGAGGTGAATGCGCGCAGAGCCAGGAGCAGGGGCAGAAGACGGTCAAGGTCGCTACTGGGGGTTGCGGCGGCGGCGGAGGAGGAGGAAGAAGACAGGGGGGGCGAGGAGGGGGGGGATCAGGAGGTGGAGGAGATTCAACGGCCGAAGGTCCCGGAGGATGCGGCGGATGCGTTGTATGCGCTGCGGATGAAGGCGGTGCTGAGGAGTTTTTTTAAGCATTGGCATGCAGAGACAGTGAAGAGAGTGGTGGGTTCTACTCCTAATGCGATTGCGATTGCTATTGAGCATTCCCTTGTTATTGCGCGAGACCTTTCTTTCTAACATGCTGCAGGAGCAAAAATGGTTTGCGGTGGTCGAGCAGCGCGCCGAGCGGCGGTACAACACCCTCCTGGTGGCCAAGGCATGGAGCATCTGGATCCAAAAGACAGCCACAATCGTGCAGCGCACGCAGGAGGTGCGGCAGCGCATCCTCGTGCGCAAGTATTTCAATGCCTGGCGCGCGCTGGTGATTGAGAACGAGGCCAAGGTGCGGCTGTTCCAGCTGTCGAACGCGCTCTACAAATGGCGGGCCGCGACCAAGCAGCGGCGGCAGATGGCGCTGGTGGCCCAGCGCGTCTACCAGGAGAACCTCGTGCACCGCGCCTACTGGACGTGGTTCTTCCAGCTGTGCGGGATACTGGGAATGCGAAGGTACAATAGGACGGTGGCGGAGCAGTGCTTTGACAGCTGGGTGGAGAGGACGGAGAGGGTCATACAGATGAACAGCATGGCCGCGGCGTTCTACCGCCGCCACACGCTGCAGACGGTGTTTAATCTGTGGTCAGAGAAGACACTGCACTGCCTCGACGCCGCCGACATCGCCGCCGACCACCGCGAGTGGAAGCTGACCGAGAACGCCTTCGACACCTGGCGGCGGCGGGCCACATTCGCACCCCTCACCGCCACCATGACCGCCGCTGTCAACGCCCGCATCGCCCACGAGCACTTAGCCCTCTGGCGCCACCGCACACACCAATCCCTCACCGCCGCCGCCCACGCGCGCACCTCCCTCCTCTCCAAAACCCTCCGCACCTGGCGCCTCCGCCTGCGCAGCCAACTCCTCACCACCCGCACCCTCGACGCGCTCGAATCCCGCACGCTCACAACATGGATCCTGCACACGCGCCAGCGCCAATTCACAACATGGCGCAACACAACCCTCGCCCAGCAAGCCCTCTCCCACTGGCTCACCCACCACCGCACCCTCACACAGCGCCTGTCCGCCGCCGCAACCGCCGTCGAGACAGCAGCCAACACCCGCCTCGCCCGCGACGTCCTCGACTTCCTCCACTCCCGGATCGCATTCCGCCGCCGCACAGAAGCAGACGCCGCCGCGCTCCGCGCGCACAGTCTCCTCAGCACAGCACTCGTCCGATGGCGGCTCAAGGTGGACTTGGTGAGGATGTATAACGAGTGGGCAGACGACGCACTCTACTACTTCACCGCCCGCCGCGCTCTCAGAACATGGAAGCGCGCATTCCGCCAATCCCGCCGCGACCGTCTCCGCGCCGCGTTCCACACCGTTTCTCGCCGCGCGAAGCGCTCCCTTGCGGCTGCGGCGCTCAGCACATGGGCGGACCGCGCAGCACACCTACAAACACTGCACAGCGCTGCTGCCTCCTTCGCAGCTGAACACACGGCCGACACGGCTAGCACGGCGCTGGTGCACTGGCGGCAGCGCACAGCACACATTACGACGCTCCACTCCACGGCCGAGCACCACCGTGATAAGACACTCGCCGCACATATCCTAGCGCACTGGCACGCGCGGCTACAGCATCTGGTGGGGCTGCACGAGCATGCGGTTGTGCTGGCGGGGCACCGGGACGCGGCGCTGGCGGGGCGGCTGCTGGAGAGGTGGATGGCGGAGGCGTTTCGCGTGCGGTTGATGGTGCTGAATGCGGAGCGGGTGCGGAGAAGGTGGGTGAAGGGGGTCGTGAGGGCGTGGAGGAATAGGGCGCTGGAGAGGGTGTATTTGAGGGAGGAGCGGAAGCGGCTGGTGGAGGTGGAGGAGGGGGAGGAGGGGACTGAAGGGGAGGAGGGGGTGGGAGGTGGTGGAGGGGGAGGAGGAAGAGGGGGGCTAGACGATACCCTCGACGATGCGTTCGGCGCGGCTTGGGTCCCGCCGCTACCACCACAGCCATCACAGCCGCAGGTGCAGCAGGTGGATCTGGGGCGGAGCATCTTTGGCGGCAGTATTATACGTGGGCCGCCATCAGTTCTAGGACGGAGCGTGTTGGGCCGGAGTGTGCTAGGACGGAGTCTGACCGGTAGTGGCCGTGGGACGACGACAACGACGCCGGCAGCGACGCCAGCGGGGTGGGGCGGGGGACGGGGCCGGTTGGGCCGGCTGATGGTGACGCCGATGGAGACGCCGAAGCGCGGTGGTGGCGGGCTGCTTATAACGCCGATGAGGGGTGGGGTGGGGGTGGGGGAGACGCCGGGGAGCCCGTTGTGGAGGTTTAGTGGGAGGTCGCGTGTTGGTGGAGGTGGGGGGGGTGGGGGAGGGGCAGGAGGAGGGGGGGGGTTTATGGGTATGCCGGCGATGAGTGAGGAGTTTGAGTAGGAGTAGTGGTGGTTTTTGTGGTGGTTGTGGTTGTGGTGGTAATGGTAGCAGCGGCAGAGGCAGAGGCAGATGTCTTGGTGTTTTGTTGTTGTGTGTATTTTCATGATGAGATTTTTTTGCGCTTTCTTTTCTTTCTTTCTCTTTTGGTGTTTTTGTTTCTTTTGTGTTTTGTGTTTTTGTGTTTGAAAGCGGGTGAATGGAGTTACTTTGCTCTTCTTTTTTTTTTCTTTTCTCTTTTTTTAGTCTGTTTCAAATGTTACCTCCCTAGGCCCTTTCTCTTGCCTCCCTTTCTCTCTCTTTTCTCTCTCTTTTTTATTGTCTCCCTATACCTACCTATTCACTATGCACCAGTTTTGGAATTTCTGGTTTTTTTTTCTACTTTGACCCGGTAACTACACGCGTGTTACCTGTTGTGTTATGTATTTTTGGCTCCCCAAGCTTAACGGGAGGGATACTCTCATACATGTACTCTAGTGTTCAAGAAAAGAATTGGGGGGGGGGTATCGCTATATCACAGCGAGTGTTGCAAGTATTTGTATCGCGAAAACAACTAAAAACATGTGTCTATCTGATGTCAGTGAGAGTGATTTCCCGTAGCCGAGTGAGAGGCTGTGGTACGGAATAACGTTTCTCCGGGTGCTGTTACCGCGTTAGCTGGCCTCCGGAACAACTGCTATTAATAGCTCGGTCATTGGATGGATTGTGGGGAATTGATGAGTGAGGGAAGAGTGAGGGAAGAGGAGGAGATTGCTGTGTGCTGTGTGGAAGAATAGAGAGAGAGAGAGAAGAGTTAGCTGTTGAGAGCTGCAGCAACTTCGTCATGCGGCATTTGTTCGCATCACGACAGAGACAGAACAGACAGACAGACAGACAGACACAACTCGTCCATCTTCATCTCATCCTTCACTCACCTCTCTCCCTCTCTCGCCTCTCTCACCTCTCACCTCTCTCACCTCTCACCTCTCCCTCTCCATTCCGCCATCTGCCATCTGCCATCTCCATCCACTCCTTCCTCTTCTCTCTCTCTCTCTCCTTCTCTCTCTCCCCCTCTCTCCTCCTTTCTCTCCTCTCTCTCCTCTTCTTCTTCCCCTTCTCTTTCACAACACACGCAATGCTCCAACCCGGCCGGCCCGCCTCAACCCCCCACGCCATCACCACCGCCGAATGGTCGCGAAACCGCCTAATCGTGAGCTCTCTCCCTCTTCTCCATCCCTCTCCTCCATCCCCATCCCCCGTGCTGCTAACCACACCCCCAATATATCCAGGCCTACATCTCTGGCACCGCCCTAATAATCCTCTCCTCGCCCACTACTCTTCTACAAACACTCTACCACGACCACCCCCTCACCGCCGTAACCCTCGACCCCACCACCGGCGCCATCGCCGTCTCCTCCACAAACACAGCCCACATCTACCACCCCGACAACCGCGGCGAAGGCCTCCTCACCTGGTTCCTCCACACTACAATCACGCTCCCGCCCCCCGACGGCGCAATCACATCCCTCTCCTGGTCACCGACCGCTGAGCTCCTCATTGGCTCACACTCCCTCTCCCTCTGGTCCACCACCAGCACCATCCCCACCAGCACCCCGCTCTGGCGCCGCCCGCTCGCAAACCCCTGCCACACCGCCACCCTCTCCCCAGACGGCACCCTCGCCGCCTCCATCGGCGCCGCCGACCGCCTCGTCAAGGTCTGGCGCCGCGTCAGCATTGGCAGCGAGTCCCTCCAGTTCGACTACACATACCTCCCGCACCCGCGGACCGTCAGCGCGCTGCACTGGCGCCGGTGCGCGCGCGGCGGCGGCGCAGCGGACGAGAACGTGCTGTACACGGTGGGCGTGGACGGGGTGCTGCGCGTGTGGGCGCCCGTGTGGCCGCACGATGTGGGGGTGCTGCAGCTGTGGGGGGTGGTGGACCTGACGTTTGGCGGTGTGGGGGCGGGGGCGCGGTTCGCGCTGGTGCTGGATAGCGGGTTGGTTGCGGTTGCGGCGGAGACGGCGGTGGCGTGCGCGGGCGAGAAGGAGAAGGATATGGAGGTGCTGCAGAGGCTCATTGAGGTTGCGAGGCGCGGGCCAGAGGTGGTGCTGGCGTTTGATGAGAAGGGGGGGATGTCGGCGTGGGGGGTGGAGAATGTGGGCTGTAGGACGAGGAAGACGACGAATGTGTTTAGCATCCTGGAGGGCGCCGAGGGGTCGGGGCTGGAGCCGTTTCTGCAGGGCGCGGAGGGGGGGGAAGGGCCGTTTGTGTGTTTCCAGGCGTGGGCTGGCGGGAAAGGTAAATGATCGCTGTGCCCGCTTTTTTTTTATAGCATCCGTAGGTCAGCAGCGCGCAGTTGGGCTTATAGGTGTATATGTGTGTGTGTTGTAGGCCTGAACGTGCTCGCGCACGTCTTTGACGGGCGACTCTGCTGGTTTGAGGCTCGGATCGACCGACTGCTCGACCTCTCGCCGCGCGGGAAGAGGATGGAACTGCTGGGCGTGCTCTCGGGCCACTCGACGCCCATCGAGACGCTGGTGCGCACGGCCGACGGAAAGGCCATGATCACGCTCACGAGCGACAACGAGCACATCGTGTGGACGCAGCCCCGGGGCGACTATTTCACGCTCAACAGGCAGAGCTCGCTGAAGCCGGATATGCATGTGCATAGAGCGGTGGTGTTGGATGACGGTTTGTTTCTGCCTCTGTGTTTGGTGTGGGGGGCTGACCAATGATCGATTTGGCAGGAAAACTGGTAATGACGATGCACCATGAATGTGTGGTCCTCTGGAACACGAGACGGCAGCACGCAAAGGAGATATCGCGTCTCCCGTACAGCTCAAAGGGGAAGATGCTCTGTCTGCTGCTCCTGCCAGAGGCAAAAGACACCCGTGAGAAGCTCCATGTGGTGGGCCTGACCTCAGAGATGAAAGGTATAGCCTGGGAGATCAGCACGACGACCTCACCGCCGAGCCTGCGTGAATTCACAACCTTTGAGCTGGACCACGACGAGGACCTGCTCATGATCCTCCCAGTGGACCCCGTCGGTTGGAACGCCACCATCTCCCCGTCCAGCACCCTCGACACCTTCTCCCGCGAAGTCGCCACCACCGTCAATGCCTCCGGGTTGCTCAAGTCCTTCACCGCAAAGCTCGCGCCCACCGCCACACCGCCCACCCTCCACTGGCTCCCCACCAGCACCGTCCCCACCGGCATCCCAAACCCCGCACTCGCCAAGGGCAACTCCATCCGCAAGATCGCACTCGTCAACGCCTCGCGCAGCACGCTGACAATCTGGGACTCGCGCGCGGCGCTGCTGGAGCACACGCAGGCCTTCCCGACCGCCGACGTGATCCGCGACCTCGACTGGACCAGCACGCCCGACTCGCAGAGCATCCTCGCCGTCGGCTTCCCGCACCGCGTCCTGCTGCTCTGCCAGCTGCGCTACGACTACCTCTCGCACGGCCCCTCATGGGCCGTCTTCCGCGAGATCAGAACACGCAATCTCACCCCGCACCCTATCGGCGACTCGCTCTGGCTCGCGAACGGCGGCCTCGTCGTCGGCGCGGGGAATCAGCTCTTTGTGTACTCGCGCAAGCTGCCGGCTGGGGAGCAGACCACCACCATCACCGACACCGACGGCGGCGGTGCGGAGCTGGGGCTGGCGGCGCACCATAAGGGACGCCTCGACGACGTGTTTGAGATTGTGAGCGTCCTGAATGGGCCGGTGCCTGTGTACCATCCGCAGTTCCTGCAGCAGTGTATCCTGGCGGGCAAGAGCGCTCTGGTCGAAGAGATACTGGTGGCGCTGCACAAAGCGCTGCGCACATGGCACGAGGAGATCCCGCTGGACAACCTCCTCGAGATCCCGATCGAGCGCTTCCTCGTCCCCGACGACGACACCGGCGGCGGGGGCGGGGGTGGGAGTGGTAAGGCGGCGGCAGGCAGCTTCTTCGACTACCTCGCCGAAGAGGAGTTTAGCAGCTTCGACGAGTCCCTCGCGGCGTCGCTGTGCGCGCTGCTGGTCAAGATTGCGATTCCGGCGCTGACGGGGAGCGAGCAGATCATGCTGGCGGGCATCATCGAGTGCGTGGGGCATGTGCGGCAGCACCGGCGCAGCATCGACGAGAATGCGGCCAGGTATCTGCTCTTCTATAAGCAGAGCGCGCTGATGCCGCTGCAGCGCGGCAGGAAGGAGCGCGGGGGCGGGGGGAGGGGCGCGGTGATGTTGTACCGTGAGGTGGTGTGGGCGTTTCATAGCAGCTCGCAGGAGATCCTTACGGACATTGTTGGCCGTAGCGGGGGGATGACGTGGGCTGCGGCGAGGGAGTGTGGGATCTTTTTGTGGCTGAGGGATGAGGGTGCGGTGAAGAGGCAGATGGAGGTTGTGGCGAGGAACGCGTATAATAGCACTGATGAGCGCAACCCGGTGCATTGTAGTCTGTATTATTTGGCGCTGAGGAAGAAGGCGGTGCTGTTGGGGCTGTGGCGGATGGCGGGGTGGAACCGTGAGCAGGTGGGGACGATGAAGCTGTTGGCGGCGGATTTTGGGCTGGAGAGGTGGAGGACGGCGGCGAAGAAGAATGCGTATGCGTTGTTGGGGAAGAGGAGGTTTGGTTAGTATAGCATATATATCCTCCTTTACATATAACATACGCCTGGGATTGTGGGGTGGTGGGGTGGTTTGAAGATACAAATGCTAACACAGCGAGAGAGTGCAGAATACGCAGCAGCCTTCTTCCTCCTCGCCGACAGCCTGAAGGACGCCGTCAACGTCTGCCTCGACCGCCTCGACGACCCCCAGCTCGCCATCGCCATCGCCCGCGTCTACGGTGGCGACGCATCACCCGTCCTGCAGTCCCTGCTGGAGCACCGCATCCTCCCGCTCGCCGCAGAGCAGGGAAACCGCTGGCTCGCATCATGGGCCTTCTGGATGCTGCGCAAGAAGGACCTCGCCGTGCAATCACTCCTCGTACATCTCCCCCCTCCCGCCAAAATAATAGCGAGCTAACGCGGTGCACAGATGCCACTCCACACCCTCCTCCCCAGCCCCACGGCCGCATCGCAGCTGTTCACATCCGACGACCCCGCGCTCGTCATCCTGTACTACCAGATCCGCGAAAAGACGGTACAGACGCTGCGCGGCGCGGCGCGGATCAGCCCTGCGGCGGAGAGCGAGTTTGTGCTGCATACGGCACGGCTGTATGATCGCATGGGGTGTGATTTGTTGGCGCTGGAGCTGGTGAGGAATTGGCGCTTTTTGCCGGGGGATACGGTGGGTGTGTTGAGGGGGGAGAGGGAGAGGGAGAGGGAGAGGGGGAGGATGGGGATGGGGAGGAGGAGGGGGTCGGTGACGGTTGTGGATATGGAGGTGGGGGGGGTGGGGATGGGCATGGGGGGGATGGGCATGGGGGGTATGGGCATGGGGGGTATGGGCATGGGGGGTATGGGCATGGGAGCGGGGGTGGGGGGTGGGGCTGTGGGCGTGAGGCCGCCGGTGGCGGTGTTTCAGGAGCCGGATATGAGTTGGGCGTTTTAGAGGTAGAGAGACCTTTTTTTTCTTGACTAGGTATTTTCGTTAGTAGGTATTTTCTATTTTCGGTAGCAGGTTTTTTTTTTATTTGGTTCTTTGGTTCTGGGGGACTGTAACTGTAGCATAGCTTACTTACTTACTTTGCATATTCACGGGTGTAGTGTAGCATCATATCTTCTTTCCTTCTCTTCTTTTTATTTTCTTACATGTAGTTGTTCGATCGTCGGCCCCATTGCATTGATTTGGTAGGTAGTTATGTGGTTTGGTTTGGCTTGGTTGGTGATTGGTTTGGTGGTTTGGTGGTTTCTTTCGGTCGTGATCATTGACATATCATGGCCCATGTAGATAACACACAAGAGTGGTACTCTACCACTCTACCATATTTAACTACATGTATCAATGGCCACGTCTCAACATTTCCCTTCCCGCGCGCGGCGAAAAATAAAAATAATAAAAAAAAGATTGCTAAGCAGCAATGCCCGGGGGGATCTCTTCTGGCAATGGCTCCTACAGCTACCCGGCCGATTCGAGCGCATTATTTCTAGATCTACTATGCTACCGGAACCTGTTGCGTGCGAGGTTGGTTGCTAGGGCGGGTGGGGGGGGGGGGGGGGGGGTGCGTTGGTTGCAGATAAGGATAAGGCTCTAGAGAAGAGGAAATCTGCGTGTGAGCTAAGGTCGCTCTGTTCAGCGTCTACTTTAAGCTTAGGTTTAACGAAACATTTCCGGTACGTACTTATGATATCGTAGTTACTCCCATGGCCTACAGGTACATGTAGTCGTGATTCTCAGTAGCCCGGACGTAATGATACCTAACCCTGCCACGCCGGTAACGTACCACGAAGGACACCGTCACCGTCTAGTATAATACAACAAGCGACCTTAAGGATCCCCACGAGCTGCCGCATCTACCCAGCCTCTGCTTACCATAGTAGAAAATTAAAGCACCGGGGGGAAGGGGGAGGGGGTCGGTCGTTCCGAGAAAACCAGCAAAATGACCATTTCCATCCCCAGTGCCAAGAATTTACCGAAGCCACGCGAGACTGCGGGGTGCGCCCTGGTGCCGTAGTACTAGTGAACGTGGTGCGAGAGAGGGGGAAGGGGGGCGTTAAGGGTCTGGGTTCTGCTAAGCGGTGTGACCGGGGGGGGGGGGGGGGCTGGTAGTCTGGTGACGGGTGCGTCATGAAATGTCACTCGTGGCTACGCCACATTTTCGTAATGAGGTTTTTTTTTTTTTTTTTTTTTTTTTTAATTCACTATTTCGTAATGGGTGACTACATGTACTATGAATGAAAATTCTTCGGTGCTTTGATTCAAGAACATGGTCGAACGTAGCTAGCTAGGGCCACGGTATATATATATATATATAGTGTGGCCTGTCCTCTGGTCCATCGGCTATCTGTCCTTCCTTGTATTACTCGCACCCGAGTCAATCCTCCTCGATTCAAATAATTGGCAGACACTCTCGATGACAGCACCCTCAAAGGCCGAGCTCAGATTGATCAGCGACCTGTCGTGCAGTTGATGATTTATCACAATTATCAAACACAGATAACTCCATCACGCACTTTCGCTATTCCCTAATTTCTCCTTATGCCCCCATCCCTTAGGCGGTTGGTACAAACCAAAATCGTGGCCGAGCCAAATATGGTAACTATGCTCTTATAATTAAACACAGTTCCTGATTGTTCTGTCTTCGAGTTTCTTCTATATATCGTTCGGTCACGATTTCGATTTGGTCCGACCGCCCCTAAGGGATAGGTTTATCAGTTGAAAGCTCAATGCACAATCATGACTAAGCATTTGGCTTTCCGCTTAAACCTCAGGCACATAAAGCTGACCGAATGGCGTATATATTTAGCGCATCTTGGCAGCGGATCTCAACAAACATCTATTTCCCTTAACAACTACATAAAAGAATTCTATGGGAACTGGAAGTGACAGGAACTGGGATAGCTCAATGCATACAGTTTAGGGAAGTTAATACCATGGTACTTGACCCGAGTAGGAAGGTATTTAAGTCAGTGCAATATTTGAGTATTTGGATGGCCCAAATTATTGGTTTTGATACCATGGATACACCACAAAATACCATGGTTTCAATGGCATTTATTCCCGTTGTCTTGTATCTTCATGTCTCTGCCCAACAATATCTCAACTCCGTCCAAACACTTTTGTCTTTGGCTAATACTTGGTTTTATCTCAGGAAATGATACTATGCAACCGAGTTTACCACAGTACCGTAGTAATTCGTCTCAGCGGACGGTTACAGTACAGACGTCAAAGTTGCCTTTTGCAGCGCGTACGAGAGTGCGTTTTCAAGACAAACGACGAGATCAAGGCATTTCAACGTCAATGTGAGCGTCAGATGAGACGAATTAGTGAGGTATTGAATAATACGTCCGTCCGAATAGAGCCTTACCCTGTGGTAGCTATGCCTATGCAATGACATTCACTCGACTCGAGCCCAATGCTCAAGCAGCCAAGCACAGCCACCCTCATAAGTCGGCTTTTTAGGTGTCAATTTAATCATAGTAAGGATGCCGACAATATTTTGGTAATCTTTTTTTTAAATGTTGTAGCAGTACCTAACCCTAACCCTATGAGCATATCAGTGTCGATCTAGTAAAAAGTTACCTGTGTGGCAACGCGATAAGACCTCGCCAGCTCGCTACCGGACTGTACCGCCTCTAGTTGGTGGGGTAAATTGCCAAACAAATAATACTAGGTCCTCATCAATGTTCTCTTCACTTTAGAGCTTATCGGTTGTGTGGTTCTTCGGAATAAGGACTTGGCTCTGTGGACCGTTCTTGGCTGTGCGGGCGGTTTCCTTTCCCCTAGACCAACACCCGTATGTTCCAACGAAGAGATCTAGAATGACTTCAAGGACTAATATCTGAGACCACTAAAGAGTTCGTGTGGCATCTTGATTGATAGTCTTTAGCTGGTAGTGAGTTTCTCACAGCCTCCCAGGATACCGCATCATAGCACATCACTCGCAGCCGCCGAGACCGGCGGGTTGCGGGCATTGACTGATGGTGTACACCCCTTCTTGCCAATTAACATTCACCAGCCACAGAGGTATCCTTTCGTATTTGTTGTTGTTCAAACAGGGTCTCGTAACTATATCTCAGCTACTAGTTGTTGTTGTCACGGTATATTCTAAGGCCTATATCTCCGCCTGAGCTGCGGTCGGTTGGACTCGAGATCTCCCCATCTGAGTTCACAATTATGCGCCCATTAAGCTCACGTTCTAGCTCCCAACTCGTTTGATCTCACACGCACATCAGATCTACGACACCTAGGCTTAATTAAGCTTGGATTCAAAGCTTTCGTTCTTCTTACCGCCTTTAAAGTGTCTGTATTAACTTACACTCGACTCTTTCCCGTCTTCCACCCGCTAATTTTTATATCTATCCTATGGGGAGATCAGGCCTGCAAGGCCCGCAAGGCCCGCAGTGGAGCATCATTGCGTGGACGTTCGTTTATCTGTTCGTTTATCTTGCGTAGCCTTAAAAGTTGAGACTCGATTCCCGAATCCCTAGCACAGTTGACAATAAGACGCGTGACGTAACTATCTGCCGAGCTTTTCGTCATGGTGAATATACGTGCCAATATGCAATAAAGGTCATAGTGATTCACACCGCTAGAAATGTCGTGTTCATCAAATTTGCACTAAGTAGGATTTCTAATATAAAACCACTGGGCAGCACCCCATTCGAGGTTGAAAACAGTGACAGTACGTCTAGGCGTCTCCATCGAGTGCATTACCGACTCCCCATGCTCGGCATCTGAGGTTCAATTTCAAAACTAACTCCTATGTATGCAAATAGCCAGGAAAGATACTCTGGATCGAACATATGATCATTTATGAACGTTGAGGTTTGGGGTAGAAAGGTATAATCTGGCTTTCTTTAATTCTTAGTTCAATTTTTCCAGAAAGAAAGAAAGCATGAAGACTCCTAGGGTACCTGTACGTCAAATTCGCAGCCCATGCATATGATCGAGTAGGCCATGCATAGGGGGAGATAGAGGGAGACGGCTCTACGGCAACCGGTTACCATCGACATACGTCTCAAGAAATCTAGACGTTGAGGGTTTGGGGGGTCCTTTATTCAGTCCTGGTGATTCTAGACCTCTACTAGTTGGTCATGAGGTTTTGAAGTTTCATTTGATCTTGATTTAATTCAAAGATACCTAGCTCAGGAGCTTTACCAGTCAACACATTTCTAGCATCAGGAGTTGTCGGTGTCAGTGCCTGACCCCCGCAATATTGCATGATGTCTCCTCAGAAGTGGAGTCAGAAGCCACTAGTACCTTCTAAAAATAGTATATTCCGAACCACGTGTCTTTGCTCTGATGTCAATGACTACAGTGGCAACTCGATGTAGGTCTGTTACCGAAGTTCCTAAGACATGAATGGTCAGTGGTAGTTCAGACGCCAGAAACTAATGACAAAAAGGCATTATAATCGAGTAATCCATCGCGGCGGTTGGTAAACCCGGCCTCTTCATCATATATTATCAGCTGCAGTGAGGTTCCAAATTCCCCGAGCCCCAATCCACCCCCGCGCGCGCCGGAACAATGGGGTATGGGGTAGATTATCTCCGGCCAAAATAAAACCTTTCCTGGGCAGATGAGCATTTCTATACCGAGCTCTAAGAAGGCTCCGAGCTCCATCCCATGTTCCTATCAATTCTAAGGGTAAAGAGCGGCCCATTTACAAATACAAGCTCTAGACAGAGTTGTTAATAATGATGAAAAAAAATGAGTCGGTAGAAGAATTTCCCTTTAATGAAACTTTTTTTATAAGAAAAAAAAAACATGCAATAGGTATCGCTATCAATTGCCGACGTTTGCAGCGGCATTCTTTTGTTGACGTCATTCATAAAAACATCGCGACCGCGAGTTGTTCGTCGGGGCTACATCATAGGACCCGAAGAAGTTAAGTAGAGATGGGGTTGATTGATGAGATAACAGCCTAACAAAGATACAACAGTAGCGCACTCCTAAGCCAACCATAACATGAACAATTTAAAACTTTTAAGGTATATTGTCGGGTTACAAAACAACCGCGCACCAAACGATCAACAACCACAACAGACATAGGGGAGATAATTGTATACTCCTAAGGACAGAGAGCTATAGAGCTAGTATTCTAGATGATGGTAAGAAGAAGGCCGAGCATTAAGGATCGCTATCCGGGATACAGCATTCTTAATGTATTGGCTATCGAGTGATATTTGGTGACCAACCAAACCAATCCCTTTAACAATCCCACAAGTATTCACCTGATTGTAGCGCAAAATCGAACATGGAATAAATACAGAATAAAGAGTTAAAAGGGCTTTCTTCAAGTTCTTGGAGGCCGGAAGAACTTCTGGATGGCTAGAAATGCTAGTGCCAGCGACAGTGAGCTGCAAACACCCCCCATGCCGGACTGCTGAAGCTTAGGAGGGGTATTTTCTATATGTAAACGCTTCTTAACTTTTTCCGCTTACTTATAGCTACTAGGATTTCAGTGGCCAAAGCCTTTGACATCTTTACCAGACTCAGACTAAGTACCAAAATGGCTAGAGTGACAAGTATCGATCCACACTATCAACCCGCGCTACCAAAATTTTTCCAAATGTCTAAACAGCGTCTCTAATACCAATGGGGGCGTGGTTTAGTGGTATAATGCTTCTTTAGCATAGAAGCGGTCCGGGGTTCGATTCCCCGCGCCTCCATTTTGCTCCCTTTTGAGCATGTATTTTATATTTGATCTTTACTAATCCTTACCGGCTAGTTGAGAAGTATAGAGAGCCTTTTTTCACCGTGCTTGCCAACCCAGCCGAGGCATGTACTTAAGGAATGAACGAATCAATCAATAAAAAGCTCGGTCCAGGCTAGCACAAGGGTCATGAATTTCCCCTGTGAAACGACGTTGACTCACTCCACATTCTTGGTCATGAGCTTCGGATACGAGAAGGAAATAATTAAATAGTTTGTCACAAGGAGCGAAGAGAGGCTTAAAATTTCTATCATGAGTGGTGGACAGGCAGGGGATAGGAAGGATTTCTGATGGTAGCGCTGAGACAACAGTCAATGATTGAAATTAAACTTAAAACCGATTAGTATTCAGTGATCACATTAGCAATTTGTCTTTGACTCAATACTTATTCCAAAGTTCTAAGATGACTGCAAAATACTCTAAAAGACTCGTGCGTAGTACATGCTGGCATGTACCTGTACAATATTGGTCTCCAGACTCAGAGTCTTACATTTACTACACGTAGCTATAGTAAATTAGCAACCAATATCACTAAACACCGCCGGCCCCAAGTGCGAAGAACCAATCCAATAAGTGAGCCCGCCATTTCTACCTGCGTTGGTTGGCATAACGACCCGGCATATGGATGCAAAAGTCACGTTGCATCTACATAGATCTGAAAGAATTATGGGAGGCATCATAGCCCCAGATTTCATTAACGAAAAAGGTAAGGATTTACATTCTATCCTGGCCGGCAAAGCGCCAGCTCATTCGTTATTGCATGAAATTACATGTGCTCTAGATGTGGGCTGTGAATCGATTTCCCAGTCTTCCCCTTCTTCTTTTTCCTCGGAGAGCTTGTGGTTAGTTGATTGGTGGACATTAGTACTATTAGAGTTCTATTAAGATGTAACATGCCGATCGCACCGCATTATTAAGCAAGCCACTAAGGGACGAGTGACATGATATGATCTCCTGCAATTTGTTTATTGGCGGTCGGGACGACGACCATCAAGAGGTAATATGTGGCCTAATGGCCCACTAGCAGAAATTCCACTCCCCACTCTACTGGGATCAACACGACCATGGGGCTCGGATTCAAGAACCTAATCTGCCTTGGTGGCTTCCAGTGTCTAGATCGAATATCAGATAGCCCTCTTATTGAGGGTGTTTAGTGGTTTCATCTTGTTTCTGAAATTTTTCTTTGATAGGTGCTGTCACATTAAGCTCGATGAGTTACCAACTGACTGGTGCCCACGGTATCCGGGACTTGAAACAATATCCCTTTTCTTTGTGTCAGTCATCTAGGCAGATAAGTGTCTATTGGGCTACACGTAGCCACGGTGATAGACCTCGAAAGGAAATGATCGATTAACTAGGTTTTTCTAGAGATTGGTGTGTGTAGGGGATATCTCCCGACCATCTTAACAGAGAAAGCGCTTCCAGAGTGCTTAGCTGTCTATCTGTAGGCCTGTTATTGAGATCGGGATGATCAATCCCCAAACATCTAGCTGGTTAGCCATCAATTGCACAACATGATATTCAAGGCAGCGCATACCCATTCTCCTCCTCCTCCCTTTCTTTTCCTCTCCTCCTCCATGCTGACCGCAACGAAGACCCCGTTTACGGTGATGGGCCGTTTCAAGATGACTCTCGAGATATGAATTCTCTTACGACGACTCTTGCGTACTATCACACCATCAAGGTGGCCCATGTGGAAACTGAACCCGTGCCTCTCTCTCGTTCCCCCCGCACAATGCTAAGGTGTTTCCACTAGAAGCAATCCGTTTTACCGAATTGACCACCACACCCGAGGATCCGGACAGATGGATCCTCTGCCGGGCTTCGGTCGGCATTGGAACTGTTTACAGATTGCCACGAGGTTGCCACGGGGATAAGATGCAAAAGAACAGATTTCCCATGATATCGAAACAACCCGCAGGGCAAGTAAAGGAAAAGAACCAATCAAGTAACTTTGATATTTGGTTCAGCTCTTGCCACTCTCCCAAGAGTACGTACGTGCCCAGATCTATTACTAACTGCTATCAGATACCAGGAAGAATTAACCAGATTGATAGATAGATAGAGGTGGCAAAAAAGAAAAGAGAGGAAAAAAAGAGAGCATATGCATACATGCTTCATACATCTCTTCGGCCTGCACCGCCGAGAGTGCCGTTTCAATTTGTGGAGTTAGTAAAAAAACCGGCGAGGGGCTGAAAAACACAAAAAAAGCAAAGATAATTGATGATGTGTTTGTTTCGGGTAAACAGTGGTCATTATCATCATCGATCAATGAACAGAAATTTGGAGAGCCATCTCGAATGTTGTTGAAGTGAGTTCTCTATAATGCAACCGAAAATAAACGTGGCTTTCTCGGGCTGTGTGAATGTGTAAGTGCACATGTATATGTATGCGCCACGCCGTGCTACTGATCTAGCCCGAATCAGGTCTTAGCCATGCAATAATTGTTAACGAACCAAACGGGGTGAAGCCCTTAAACTTCATTCGTAGACTCCACCAGCCCAGCCTAACCTTGTTTTGTCGTCATGGCTGGCGTTGCATCAAGTACTATGAGACACAGAACCAATGATTTTAAGTCCCTTCAATTCCTCAACCGTTGAACTGCGCCAGGTCCAAAAATACATTATTTGGTAGAATAAAAGGATGAAAACTACTACCATGACGCGCCGTGACAGGAACGCCGCCAATGATCATAAATGCAGGTTCCGCAGGATAGATTTCAAGGAACGCGCTGGGCAGGGCAGGGCAACAAATTTTAGGTTAACGGCACGCGGTTGGTCTGCATGTCGGCTCCACAGGTACACTTCGATGCATGTCATGGGGGAAAAAGCAATCTTGGGGAAACCTGGGTTTCAATCATACGACAAGCAGGCTATTAAGATGTCACGAGAAGAATTTTGTGGAAAGTGCTTGAACTTATTCAGCACGCAGTCGAAGTAGCTAGTGATACAAATAGTAGTACAGTAGTATTGAGCAATAAAACAAATAACCACCCAAAATCAAATAAACACCTATCATGAATCTCGCACAAAGGAGGCACACAATAATCGTAATGTTACAGTAATAGCTTCATAATCCAAAAAATAAAAAATAAACCCTCCCACCCCCCTAGCGATGATGCTTCGAAGAAGCTCAAAACAAATAACGCCCAAAAATGAGTCATGTCTTCTTTTTCTTTCGTCTTTAGAGTTCTACCAAAGTGCGCTCAGAAACAAAGGAAAAGCTACCAGCGCATAAAAGCAAAACAAAAAAACCGAAGATACCCGTCTTAAAAATATTTTACGAAATATATGAAAAGATGAAAGGAAAGTAGTAACCAAACCTATACAAATAATACCCAATCGAGAGAGAGTGTAAAGTGTTGAAGTAATAATACAAACTTTAGAATCGAATGGAAGTGTAAGGAAAAACATCTCTCAAATAAGAAAGTAGATGACGATAGTGATGGTGGTAAACGGTTAACCCCGAAAACAAGTGGCCGAAATCGAGAACCGAGACAAGTGGAACGAGACCTCCTGAAAGGAATGAAAAACCGGAGGTCGATTTGATGTGGTGGTGCAAGAAAGTGAGTTGTGACGTCATGGTTGTACGGAGGACTAGTGGGGCGGGTAAGACGCCAAGCCTGCACAACCCATGTTCTTCCATGCATCTTCCCACCCTTGTACTCTAGGTGTAGGGCCAGCAAGAAAAGCAGTGAACTGCTGATCTAACTTGTGTTGATTGTAGATCCCTCCTCAGTTTATCGATCGCAACAGGATTGTTTTTGAAGTTAATCGGTGTAGTTTACCATCATCCCGCGTCATCAAGAAATGAAAAAAGGAGACAATTTGGGCGTGTCAGATCGGCTATTTGTCGATACCATGTTTTACCTAAAATGATGATGTTAGTAAAAATTCACATCATACCAAGACGATTCAACACAAAGCCCCATCTGCAAAGCAGATCTTTGCGTTGATTCGTTATCAATTAAGGGGGAAAATTACCTTTTTGTGACGTGTAAGGGCATCTTGCCTTGAGAAGGTCTTCTCGTCGTTGCAAATTTCGCAGCGTACCTTCTCGCGATGAGTGTTGTGGATGGTATCCTCATGACGAGTGAGATCGTAAGGCCGAGAGAAGATTGTGTTGCAGGGTTTGTTTGTAGTAGGATTGAGGCGGTTGCACTTGTGAGGTCCAGGGTGATGCGACCTGGCAATGCCATCACCGCGGCTACCGGGACTCGTCTGTCTGTGTGCTTCGCGTCTATGCTTTGCCATTTTGTTCGTGGTGGGAAACCTCTGGTTGCAACCAGGAACTGTACAGGTGTATCCTCCCCTATTCGCTTTGGACTCTGCAGGCTTTGTAAGGGGTGAGCCGGCAGACTGGTAACCATATTCGCCCTCATCCTCGGCCATTTGAGGCTTGTGATCAGAACTATCAGCGTAATTGCTGTAGGGGAATCCGAGGGGGGTGAATTGCTGGTTGGCTGGGAACATGGTAGCATTGAAGTTCGTGCTAGCATCACTCTCCCTGCGGCTGGTGGCCATGCTAGCATAGCTCTCTTGAGTCTCTTCCCTCTTGAGGTTGTAAATTTGATCGTCTTCCTCGTCCCCTTGAACCGAACCCTTGTAGCTGCCGCTTTGGACACTGCCGTTCTGAGAGTACACATCTTCCTGAGAAGCAAAGAGAGAACCCTTAACCCCTTCTTGGGACGACTCGTGGTATTCACGGTAGGCATCTTTTGGTGAGATAGTACAAGGGTGCTCGACAAGATCGATGTTGTGGTAGTCTTCCTCCATTTGCTTCTTCAGTACCTCTCGCTCAACTGCAATCATCTTCTCTCTCTGAGCACGAGCAGTTGCAAAGCCAGCAGGAATCAAGGTCGAGGTTCTCTGGGGTGAGCGAGTCACAATTGGGAAGTGCGCGTAAGGCGAATTGGCACGGAAAGGTGAGCGCTCGCGAACTATTGGCGACGTGGTAATGGAGTGCTGGTTTTGGGCTTGCTGGTAGAGGAATGCCACCTTGGAGGGTGTGGTGCAAGGAGAGGATGGCCGAGTAGCGTGTTCGGTGCCAGGGGCGACACCAGGGTTATATAGCTCGTCTTGGATAGCGTCGGAGACAGTTCGATCGAGCTTTGGGGGGTCTGGGATTGGGTGGTGCAGTTCTGAATCGAAGAGTAAGTAATGGTCAATCCACGACTCAATATATTGACAGGCATCCTCACGAGCTACTTGTACTCCATCGCCACAAACAGACTCTGGTGAAGCGATGGGAGTGGTGGGTGAGTGCAGGTCCACATCCGAAGCGGAAAGTCTCGACGAAAACTGGCCCTGGTGGTGGGGTGACAAAGCTGGAAGCTCTTCGTCATCAGAGTGCATGACTGCGCGACTGTTCACCAATCCCTGAGTGCCAAATTGCTGCTGCGATGGAGGGGCTTGCAGGTAATGGCGAGGTTGATGGTCGAAGAATTCGAGTGGCTGTGTCATTGATGAGTCGAAACCATTGCCAAACCGTGATTGGGTGGTAGGATTCTCGAAATTCTGGACGTTCCGTCGCTTTCGATCATAGCACTCGTCGTATAGCTGGAAATCTGCGGGCGAGCCGTGGGCAGACATGATAGTAACTCTTGAAGGTGAAGATGCTGGTGTAGAGTGGGTAGAAAGAGAGGTAGCAATAGTTATTGGGGAAGCTGGCTCTGAGGCCCTCTGAAGGTTGATGTGGGGGTTAAGAGGAATGTTCCTGATGGGCATGGTGGTAGTTTGGTAAGAGTGGAGTTGAGAGATGAATGGATAAGTTTCTTCGTCTGGGGGGAAGCCAGCAGCAAAGTCTTGTTCAAGCTTCTGTCTCTTCTGTGCTGGAGTGAGCTCGCCTTGTGGTGGAGCAGTGTAGAAAGAAAGGTCGTAGGTTTGGTAAGGTGAGGTGTAGCTACTGTGGTGGTATTGAGTAGTAGTGTTCTGGGGCGAAGGGGCTCTCATTATGAAGAGTTAAAATAGGATGTGAAAGAGTATTTGGGATAGATAGCACGGGATGATGATGCTGTGTGTGAGAGGATTGAGGAAGGCTTTATTCTTGAAGCTCCCTGAGTAAGTAAGACTCTAGAATAGGTGCGGGTCGATTGGGGTTCCCCGGGAGAAAGCTAGTTGCGATGACGCTGATAAAGCTAAGCTACTCAAGGCATAGGGTTAATAACACAACTTCATAACGGGTAACATAACTTGCATGTTTGAGAAGAGTGTGAGTGAAATGAGTGTCACGCTAGGAATGCTTATTAACTGGGGAGAGCGTGGCTAGAACTCTGCTCCGAGGATAGCCAGAGGGTGTGGGTCAGGGCAAGGGAGAACCTTTGACCTAGGTAGGCGGGCTGCGGACTGCGGTGCTAAGGTTCTCCGCCGCGGGGGGGGGGGGGGGGGGTAGGGTAATGCAAAGGATAACTTACAAGAAAGACCAAAGCTGAGAAGCTATTGGGGGGTGGGAGACAGGCAATTACCGGTCCACCTGATCAATTACCGAACCAACTGAATCGCGAGTTGCTTGGTCGGCGTTTAGACTTGACTACTTGTAGTTGTATATCTTCTCAGTATAGACGGGGTTTGTTCAAGCTTGCAGATAGTCGTCGTAGTCGTGGGGCTGAGAGGCGTTTTGTGGGTGGTGATGATTTTGAGCGATGATGAAGGTGGTGTGTTAAACGAGGGGAGTAGAGCTCGACTCTAGATATTATAGCGTGATAAGCTTCTTGTTGCCGTTTAAGCAGACTGCTGTTGATAGTAAAGACATCCATCGCGGCGGCTTTGATATATATGGCGGGATCGTGGTAGTTTTTGCTTGTCTTGGTTGAACGATCTACTGGTGGGGTGGTGTGGGTGAGGAGCAGCAAATGCGAGAAGTACAGGATTAGGTGGTGGTGGTGCAGGCAGGCAGCGGTAGCAAGTAGCAACCAAGCCAATGCATGAGCACAAAAAAAAAGCAGGGTGCGTCATAATAATAATCGAGTCTCCCAGAAAGTACCAGTGTACCACATCCTAGACTCGGCCTCAACTGCTGTCCACCCCTTGCTCACTGGTTGAGTCCCATAGCCTCCGTGCACAGGCCTCACTCACTCCAGAACCCTAGCAGAGTAACGTAACTAACGTTCTCTCTTACCCTCACCTTCCCCCCCCCCCAACCAGAACCTCGATGCGACCAATTCAAAATTCCCCGGCTTTCCGGAAAAATGGTAAATGCATACATACCATCACACACACTCACACATTCACTCCGTTCTTACAAATTCCTCTACCCTTGTCATTCCCTCTTTGGTTATTTTTTTCCAAAGCTGACGGGAAAGCTCTTGTTGGGCCAATCATCCCTTCCACATATTCCCTCTTCTGTCCACAAGTTACAACCCTTATTTTCGGATTACGGTACCTATGGATTCACGGAGTTTACGCGAGTCGTACCCAGTATTTTTAGGTACTTTTTCCCCCACACAAACCCACGCTTTTCCGATAGATTAGATTTTTTTGTGGCTATGCTAATCCATCCACGGTGTGAGAGACAGCCACATTTCAAGCACTTTCTGAAGCAGAGTGACATAGGTCTCAACATTCCCATCCCTTCTGTGCCGAGGTCCAGCCCACACACCCTGTGGCTTGAACGTGACAGACAACATTCCCAGGGTCCACCGTCTCTCCCTTTCCCTTTCCCAACAACCCCTACCAAAAAAATTCCACTTTGCTGTGCGCGGCTCATCGCGGAGAAACAGCGGACTTCCCAACGCCCGAAAGACCCTTGTAGACGATTATCGATCGCCCCGCAAAAGCTCCCTTCCCTCCCACCCACCCCAGCAAGCTGGTGTAAACCCGATCAGTAAACGTCGCTAGGGCAGAGACAAAACACACAACACGAAACAGCAGCTCCTCCCCTCCCCCCATTTGGGTCCAGATTTTTGTTCCACCCCCCATCTCATCGCAGGAGGCCGGATGTAGTAAGTAGAAGGTAGGCTTGGACCGTAGGCATCTAGCTCTCTCTGTCCGTAATGCACGCACCACAAAGCAGAGCAAGAAGCTCAGGTCAATGCGGTCCCTTTATCTTCTGGCCTATCCAGTCTCTCTCTCGTAATACATAAATTGTTTCTCTTTACTGCAGTGGCGCGTTTAGAGAAACCATATCTCCACTCTGAAAAAAACAAACCCTCCTTCGGCATTGCCGACACGAGGAAAAATAAAACATGGAAAAAACGTGAGCTCAATCTCATGTTCACGCATGCAAGCTCGCTCGTGGGCTCAATTGCAACCCTCACTGGTCGGACCGATCGCGAGTCCTTAATCCGTCTATCCGTCAATATGAGTAGGAAAGAAATAGAAGCTCGATGCGTATACAGTAACTAACTACATGTATTGTCAGGCAAGTATCTCCGTGTGACATACGCAACACGATGCCTAAAGTATAGATCCCAATAATATCTATTCGGAGTATGAATTTATAGAAACTCTCATTCCAAGGCAACGAGAGCAAACAAAAAGCTCTCGATCTAGATCTCCTGATGGTTCTGCAACTATTGTGTGCTCCATCACGAGGTGTGGACGAAACTCGCAACAGGCCACCTCTCTCCAAAATGATCCGACGAAAACCTTGCAGAAACCATGACTCTCATTACTCAATCATTCTTGTCTCTGCTATCGTATTCGCAGATTCCAAGATAATCTACTCTGCACAATCCACATTCACATCCTGAAGCTCCAATGCAAACGAACGGATACTAAATTAACCGATGTCTACATGTATCGACTCGGCTATCCTCCCGAGTCACGGCTGCTGGGACTAGATATATGCAGCTCGAGGGCAGCAAGCAAGCCATCTCCCATCTCTGTGCATTTTTTTTACGCCTCCAAAGACTCAAAATGTATAAAAGTCTATTGATCCCCCTGCCTATTCTTACTAGATGGAGATGACCAAGGGCCAAGAGGGGAAGAGAGATCGCAGACAGAGCAGAGGGAGCACCGTGAACAGTGAACCGTGAGTGGGGCAGGGTAAGTAAACACCACGCTACTCGTAAGCACTGTATCTGAACTGACTGACAACTGACAGGCCCTCACCAAGAAGGTTTCAGCAACCCATCTCCCGGAACTCGGGAAATTTTTTTATTTTTTTCCCCCTGCCAAACCTCGTGGGAATTAGGATAAGCGAACACTAACTAGTGAGATCTCGGTCAGAGACAGGGCGGGGGTGGGAGAGAGAGGCTAGCCCCACACACCTACAGACACTCGCGTGAGCGGCCGGTCCAGAACACCCTTAATCTTGCAGCAGGACCAGTCAAAAAAAGAAACGAAAAAAGGGAAGGGGAAAAATCCTTCTGAGATCCTTCCATGCATGCTTCTAGAGTTCAGTACTGCCGGGGATATGCGCAACAATCCCGACCGAACCGTCCACTAAGGTAATTCATGCATGCATGCACCGTGCACACCACTGCCTCGCATCTATCGATTGCAGGGATCATGACACCAAAGACAAGCAGCCACACACCTGAGAAAATGGAAAACTCGCACCGAGGTGTGTCTTTGATTTGACTGCGGGAATCTTCTTGGGCTGCTAATTGGGCTTTGGGAATTTTGCTAACGCGCGCCTTTTCTTCCTTGTGTTGATCATTCACCCACACACATCCGCCTCAATTAACCTAATCCTTGTTACATGTATTTTTTTTCTCACGAACGAGATTTCGCTGCACACACACCTTTCCGGCTACAGCCGGGTCACGGAAAACAGTACCTACTCTAGTACTAATGATTATCAAACAACAATAATCAACCGTTTTGTAACTCTATATCCTTATATTTTCTTTTATCAAATCTCGACTCTGCATGCTGCATGAATACTGCTCACCGAAAAAAAATTGTTTGCTTCTTTCTGCTTGTTAATCCAGCTACATAGACGACACTCCCCGGACACCGAAGCCTATATCTCCGGCCGCGCGATCCATATTCCTCAGGCAGATTGTGTTGAGGACATTAGAGTAGATACCTGCATTCCCGATCATTACCTTACTGAGGATCGGGTAATGATCATACCAACAGCATTGCATTGCGGTGCGTTAGCCGGCTAACGGAGATGTCGCAGCCCCACTAGAGTACGTGGAAAGCGATGGTGCGCGCTTACTTGATGATCATTGACCATGGCCCTGGGAACGCCGGCCCCCTTCAGTAAAGCAGGGTACTTAATAGAGTCTTTTAGCCAACGACCACAAGAGTCGTTAACACTAAATTGAAATACCCAAGACTTTGGTGCATGCATTAGGGGACCTTGGCCTCCATGGTATGAGGAATACTCTCAAAGGGATTGGTATTCTAAATATTTGACGGCGTATTCTTAAGCACGGCATTCAAAAAGTGATATATGATACGCATCCTGCATGTACAAAAGTCTTGGGTATTTCAATTTAGTGTTAACGACTCTTGTGGTCGTTGGCTAAAAGACTCTAATACCTCGGCTAAAAAATTAGTAAACGCCCACTGAGTGAGGGGCCTCCGCGGAAACGCGTCTAAAACGAATAATTTGTTACTGATGATGATGTGGTGTGGGCCATGTGATTTTCTTCTTTTTTTATTTTTTTCCTGCCGTTATTTTCTTTTCTTTTTTTGGAACCCAGACACTTGCCTTGCATGATCTGCAAGATGCCAATGCCACATGGAAGGAATTTTTCTCTTCCATGATCCTGCCGAATCAGGAAGCATTCTGGAAATCCGGGAGAAAATGCCTGTTGGACTGTCAAATTGACAGGGGTGTTTGCTGGCAAGGATCCAGGCTGTGTAGCACAGCAGTAACTTGCAAGGTCAAGCGAAGAGATTTGAGCGAGCGAGTTTCTCGGGCCAGATCAACGGAACCGACCGGATGCCAACCTTGGACTTAGCTCAGTTTTTGAGAGACAGAACCCTTTTTGTGTGTGTCCACACCCTTTTTTTTTTCTTCCCTTTTTTTCCCTTTGTCTGGTCGGAGAAATGCGTAGCTACCAATCCAGATTTTCTTTCCTTTTTCCTTTGCCATGCGAGCAAGTGTCTGTGTTCTTAATCTCTGGAATCGACCCCGGCACTCCGCGAACCGTATGCAAGTCGTACCCAAAATAAACAATCTCTTCTGTCTCTGCTGCAGAATCTGGATTAAGGTAGAGTAAAGTATCTGTGCTCAGTGCTCACTCATGTCCTGGACCCCTATCCGATCCAATTACGGTCGGCAGCGAGAGAGCTCCAGAGGCTAGAGAGCTAGGACTTCCGCGGTGAATTCTTCCCATCAACATCATAAAGGGGGCACGGGTATGAAGGGCCTAGGGACCCTGAGTTACTGAGAGCTGTGACCCTGAGACACACAACACCACACCACTCCCACGCACACAAGCCACACGTCGTCACAGGGCAGGTGGGCGGGTTTTTGATTTTCCTGCTTCACGTTAAACGATGATGCCCTGCGTCAGTGTTAATTTACAGGGCGACCGGTAGATAACTGAGCCGGTGCTCGGTTTGTCCGTCGGTCTCATTCGTTCATCAGCCTAGAGGGGGGGATCGGCCCGCCGACCTACTCTACGTGCTCTAGTACTTAGTTAGGCCAAGCTATTATTACATACGCTACTCTAACGGATGAGATGGGGCAGATCCCTCTCTCCAGATCTCGCTAGGTTATTTTTTTAGCTTTAACCTCAGTAAAACAAAATTAAAAACCTGAAAGGCTCTGTAGCCTGGCTAGCGAGGTTGTGAAAAAAAAAAACTCAAAAAAGCCAGCCACGTCAGGGTGGTAGATGAGTGATGGATGGGG